TCACTCCTCCTTGGGGCTCTCCATTCCTGTGACCTGCCTCAGTTGCACACTGTACCCCCTCTGGGAATATCTATCCTCTGCTGAGCCCCTAATTAGCTCACAGTAGGCATTCCATAAACATTCAAAGACCAGAGTAGATACTCCTTGGCTCCTCAGTCCCCAAGGGTGAGAGGAAAGGCAACTGATGGGCTTTAAATAGTGCTGACACTGGGCTGGGGTGCAGCTCAGTGGAAGAGCACTTGCCTAGCATGCGCAAGGACTTGGGCTAGATCCCCAACACCAAAAACCAAATGAACAAAACAATAGTGTCCACATCCCCAGGAGCAGGAGGAAAAGTCCTCCTCCTAGATCTCAACTAAGACCCAGCCTGGGAGCTCCCCACCCGCTCAGAGACATCCCGTTGCCCGCTCCATCTTGGTTGTACTTGCACGAGGATAGTATAGGGTTGGATTATAATGTAAACGGACAGGGATAGAGTGTCTCCCAGGTCCCACTGTTTTGAGTGCATTTACATCAGTCACATCTGCTAAGAAAAGCCTGGAAAAACCAGTGTGCAGCTTGACAGCCTTGAGTTCCAACTCTGGCAACATCACCTGGCAGATGGGAGCTAACCACTAATCTCAGTTTTTCAGTGGTGGTGGTGATGATAATAGTACCTAATTCCCAAGGTTGTGTGGAGAGTCAACAAGGTACTACCTTCATTTAATTAATTAATTTATTTAGGCAGGGTCTTGCTCTGCTGAGGGCTGGCTTTCTGTCTCCACCTCCTGAGTGGCTGGGACTACAGGTGCACCAGTGTCAGTAAGCTACCTTTATTTTTTTTATTTCTAAACAATTTATTCTTTGTGATACTGGGAACTGAACTCAGGGGCACTTTACTACTGAGCTACATCCCCAGCCCTTTTATTCTTTATTTTGAGACAGGGTCTCACAAAGTTTCCCATGCTGCCCTTGAACTTGTGATCCTTCTGCATTAGCCTCCGTAGAGGTGTGCACCACCATGCCCAGTTAAACTATCTTTAAAGCACTTAGTGCTCAGCATCTAAGACACTTATTGCTATTATTATTAAGTGGAGCACTTCCAGGAATTGAGATCTGGTTGGCAGGGCTTTGTCTCTATAAAATCTAGAAGCCATATTTTGCCACCTTTTAAAAAGAAACTCCAAGAAATCTATGTGGTTCATTTTAAATTAATGAGGTATGCATGCAAACACCCACAGACATTTGATTTGTTGGGGGAGGACATTATTCTAGACTCTGGAGGAATAAAGATAGAAAGGACTCACTTCCTGTCCTAGGGAACAAAATCAGTCAAACTGATAATCACAATTCATCTGGGCATATGGCAGGGCTGCCCAGAGGTTGTGAGGACAGGAGAGCATTTCAGAGCAGGATGATAGGGTGTCCAAGGGCAGAGTTTTGAGTTTAAGGTGGATAGAAGGCAGGATGAATGAAGACTGGCCATTCATTCCCCCTCCAGGGGTGATATTCACTGGGATTGACAGACTGAGCTCAGGAAGCGAGTCGGGTACCTCTTTACCCAGCAATGTAAGAACCTAGTGAGGAGTGGGTGTGGGGGTATCAGACCTTTCAGAGTCCCTGCTCTCCTGAATGGGTGGGCTGTCCAATGAAAGAGACAGTGAGGACACAAGCATTAATAAATTCCACGCCCCTCTAACACCCACCTGCTCCCCCTCCCCGGCTGCTACAGCAGAGGTATCCTGGAGCCTGGAGCTTGGGAACCAAGCCTTTTTCCTTGGTTGGAGAAGGGGGCAGCCTCCAGATCCCTAGTGGTGTGGTCTCTGGAGATGGCATCCTCAGATTGGGGGTTGGGGCTGCATCCCTCTTCTCCTATCCTACTACATGGCCTTCTTAGGGGCTGGCTGACCCTCTGACCTCCAGACTGTCCCCCCCCCTCCCAATAATACCCTGGACAGGAGCTCAAGGAAGAAGCGATTCAGAGGCCAGGTCATAGGTCTAGACATAGCTGGAAGGCAGGGATTGGGCCTTAATATTCTGGGGGTCCCCTGAATTCTCTTGGGGAGCTCAGCCAAGGCCAGGGCCTGATTCGGGTCACAAAGCGCAAGGCCGGGATGTGGGTGCCTGGCCCAGGAGGGAGGGGACGTGGGTAAAGGGGTCAGGCTGAGGGAGCAGGCGGGGCATTGGGAGTGGAGGGCGCTGTGTGGGGGTGGGAGGGCGAAGGGTCCGGCCGGTGCAGAGGGGGGCGGCCCCCAGGGAGGGGCACGCTATGTCTTTAAGAGCTGCCTGAGCGCAGGTTGCAGCTGCCTGGCCAGCCCGAGGAGAGACAGCGGAGATTCATTACCCGCCGACACAATGACCATTGATGGCCCCGTGGCGTTATTCAAATCCAGTACCAATTGCAGCCGAGCCCCTTTCTCCGCGCCAGGCCCGTATTGTTGGAGCGGCCCACTAAAAGCCCGCCCCGGCCCCGAGCCGCCAGAGGCGCCCGCTCGGGTTCAGCCCTGCGCCTCGCCAGCACGCCGGTTCTCAGTCCGGCTCCCCGGGCGCTGCAGGTGACCCGGCGGCGCATTCCAGTGCTCCCCGCCGCCCGGGCCACCGCCACCGCCGCCGCCACCTCCGGCGACTCAGCCACAGGGAAGCGGAGAGCGCCCGAGCCGGTGCGTGCGCGGGGCTGGGCGGGGGCGGGGGACCCGCGAGTCCAGCAGCCCAGACCCCGGGCTCGGAAACGCGACCCGGCCTCGGGCCCCAGCTTTCCGGATTCTCGGCGAGCCCAGGCTGGGGGACAGGGAGAGGGGAGTCGGGGTTCCCCAGGCCTGGCAGAGGAGATTTCCCCAACATGGGGCGGCACAGACCCAGCGCGGTCTACTCCAGGGACCCCGGGCCGCGTTCGAAGGAAAGACTCCAGGGGTGATGGGGATCCCCGTGCTGTGTTGGGATCCGCGTGCCTGCTCGTCCACCTTACCGCGGGATGGGGCGAGACTGCTGAGCGTCTGCGAGGTATTCCGAGGGGCAGCTCCGGAGATCTCCGGGTCCGGCGTTTTTAGAAAAGAGCGAAGCGGAAACCCGCAGGAGACCGGGGCCTTGAACTCTGGGGCTTCGCCACTGATTGTCCAAACGCAATTCTTGTACGAGTCTGCGGCCAACCGAGAATTGTGGCTGGACATCTGTGGCTGAGCTCTGGGCGCAACAGGGGTTGGGGGATGCAGGGACCAAGCTCAGGGAAGCCGAGACCCTGGGGGATGGGATGGGGGCGGCTGACTGGCCCCAAGTGTGAGGATCGCGGCCCCAGTTCGACGCGCAGAGGGACGCCGATCCCTGCCATCAGCGTTGCCGTCGCCATCCTCATCCTCATCCTCTTTCCTTCTCCTCCTCTGCGGGTGACTGGTCCCTCCTGGCGGGGTCCTCCAGTAGATCGCGTTGGTTTCCCCCCTTTAAAATTTCTGCCCAAACGAAACTGGCACGCAGCAGCGGGACCCAAATGTGGTCTGGGAGCCCGCCCTCGGCCAGAGCCGCAGGAAGTCGGGGGTGAAAGCAGATGCCGGCGAACGCGCTCGTTAACTCGTTTTTGAACTTGTTCTATCGCATCCCCCCGACCGGTATCCCCTAAACAAACAAACAAAATCCTAATCTGCCCCTAAATTCCAAGCCAACCAACCCCTCCCACAAACCCCTCCAGACGGACGGATGGACTGAGCCTCCTCCAACCGCTGCTAGAGTCCGAGAAGCTCGGGAATCATGCGCTCCAGCGGGGCAACCACCTCTGCTTTGGAAATAGAACTTGGACAAACGAATCCTTTTCATTAAAGAAAAATCTTCGGAGATAGTGGGGTTTATTTATTCGTTTATTTCCTCAAAAGTTGGGGTCAGGGAGTTGCATGGGAGGAGAACCACTGGCAGCTGTTGGGTTGAGCCAGTGTCACCTGTCTCTGACCCCTTTTGGGCTATAGGCTAAAAATGACCTGAAATGATCTGGAGTGCCTTATCCCTGGCCAATTTCCATGGTGGCGCTGGCATCAGCTGTGGGGAGCACCCGATTTCTCCAGCCCCTCTCCTGCTCCGCAGTAACTGGGGTGTGGTGGAGGCTGGGATACCCCACATATATCATTCCACACCCTTTGCAGGCAGCAGAAAGGAACCCTAGTGTGGTCAGTTCCAGGAAAGTGGGACAGGCCATTCCTGAAGCTCCCCAACGGGAGAAAGGGAGGGACCCTCAGGTTACAAGAATTTAGACAAGCTGACCCTCTAAAAGTGAGACTGTGAGGGCCATTACAAGTCCCTTACTCTGTTCCCTAATATGGAGACTCTGACCTCAGCACCTAATGAGGGCCGGTCATGCGGCCTCTCTGGACAGCGTTCAGACCCAACGCTGGCCCTAATCTGCACCCAGTATTGCCTGGATCAGTAATCCCAACATGGATGCTCCCACCCACACATGCCTAGAGGGCCTCCACTGCAGCAGGACTGGGGAGAAGTCCACCAGCCAGGGGTCATCTGTTCTCTAAGAGAACGATGTGTACCCGACATTCTTCCCAACACAGCTGGGACACTGGGCACTTTCGTCTCCACAGGGGGAGAAATTCCACCTGAAATCACTGACATTTAAAGAAAAGCAATGTTTGGAGTGGGATGATAGTGCCCAAATTCTTTTTTGAGGTCTCCCTCCAGCAGACAAAGCTCTTTCTTCCAGATCACGGGAAGGAGAGGGGACTCTCATCTATGCCACTCCCATTCTGGGTTCTGGGGCTGCTGAATGCAGCTGGTGGGACAAAGCCTGGCCTTGGACAGACCAGTGGGGATGTCCTGGGACTCAGACTGATCAGCACAGACTGGCTCTGCACCTCCTTTTCCAGATAGTCCTATCAGACTACCCCCTCTGGGGTAGCTTGAGTTTTAGCCTTTTGGTTAAAGCGCAGCTGAGAGCCCTAGGTGAGGATAGAGAGGTCATATCAGACAGAGGCTTTGGTTGGGGGAACTGGGGTGCCACCCATTTCTGAGGATGAAGAAGCTCCAAGCAAGGCTAGTAAACAACCCTAGTCTTTTATTTGCTCAAGGCCAGCTGTTGCAGGCCCCAAGGACCCCAGACTTCCAAAACAGACAGAGGGAGGGGGTAAACCCCTCTGCCTACCAGGTGCTGCTTGCTCCGACCCTGCTTTCTGCAGGAGGTGGGAAGGGATATAGACTTTACATCTGTGCCATCATATATCTCCTTGGCTTTCAGGTATTATGAATATTCAGTTAGTGTAGAGAAGGAAACTGAGGCAGATTGAAACCCTCCCCCCAGGCCTCTATTGGCTAATCGGAGGTTGGGCTACTTCCTCTTCTTCTCCACCCACAGAAGAATGAACTATAGACAGCCTGGTGAGGGTCTCAGGAGCCCATCTGGTGGCCTGTGTGTGTGGGGGAGGCCAGCCAGGGTCAAGGGCTGGGGGTGGGGGGAGCAGGAGGAGGGGTGTGGCTGGGATAGCAGCTGCTGGGTGAGGGGGAGGGAGTCAGTATTGAATAGGGGACCCCAGCTGGGGTTCCATAATGATATCAGTGGGGGACAGACAGAGCCCTCTGCTGTCCAGATGGGGAAACTGAGGCGGAGACTCTTCCAGTCTTTGGGAAGGGAGGAGTTTCCCATCAGTTATTCAGGTCCATCCATCTTCTCCACAAATGTGGCCATGAGCTGGAGTGCTCGTTGGCAGTCACTCAGTGCTCAGACTGAGACAGGAATGGAAGGCAGCTGGATCACCTGGCCACACGGCCCCCCTCTGCTCCTGACACACCAGAGGGGCACCCTCCCCCACCTCAGCTGCTGGGAAGGAGCTCTGGGCTCAGGAGCCTGACTGCCTGCTTTCCCCTGCTCACGTGCCTGAGAAAGGCTCATTTTTAGCACCTGGCCTCTTTTCCCTGCCTGGAGGGAGCTTGGGGGATAGAGCAGGGAAGAAGGCAGCCACGGGGGACAGGGAGACCTGAAGGCTGGGCCCAAGGGGATGTCTGTCTGTTCCGTTCTCCCCCTGCAAGGGTGCCGAGGAAGAGAGGGGCCCTCAGCCTCCATGCAGCGTGGAAATGAAGAGGACGCTGTCCTGGTCCTGCAGCTGGTAGTCCAGCTCACCCTGGGGCAGGAGAGAGGACAGAGACCATCAGGACAGGGTCTAGTTTCTCCCCAGGTGTTGGGAAGGGAACCAGGGAGGACTTGCTGCTCTGAGAAAGACAGACTTTGCCAAATGAAATGGGTGCTCTGTACATCAACATGCAAGTCTAGAGGTGGTCCTAGATCTGACACTCACCACCTCCCCAGCAGCCCATTCTCTCCTCACTTGGGGTGGGACACTTGAGTAGCATCAGTTCAGGGGCTGGAGTGGCACAGAGATTATCCAGCCACCCTATTTAGGCTTAATGAGAGGCCCAAAGCTTTTCTATTGAAGCAGCGGCTGGGAGAGCAGGGGCTGGGAGAGCAGGGATAGGGGCTGGGAGAGGGGTATCCCCCCTATGCTGAGGTACTGACCAGCAATTCCCAGTCGGCATCATTAATCAGCACCAGAATTCCTGGTCGCCTGTGGAAAAGATGGCATAAGTAGCAAGGATTGAAAGGCAGAAGACTCAAGAGTCTTTGGGCCGTAGGAGAAGAGGCAGCTCTTCTTTCTGAAGTTTTGGTTAAAGATCTGCCAGGCCAGGCGCATATGGCACAACCTATAATCCCAGTGGCTCTGGAGGCTGAGGCAGGAGGATCAGGAATTCAAAGCCAGCTTCAGCAAAAGAGAGGCAACTCAGTGAGACCCTGTCTCACAGCTCAGTGATTGAATGCCCCTGAGTTCAATCCCCAGTACACCCCCCCGCCAAAAAAAAATCTTCCAGGAAGTAGAGGAACCCAGGTAAAGGAATCCAGGTCAGAAGGCCTGGTCTTGAGGGCCAGATGGAAACTGTGTGCAAGTGACAGTACCATCACCAAGACCTTAGGCAAATTATTTTGTTTCTCTGCACATCAGTTTCTTTTCTTTTTTTTTTTTTTAGTGGTACTGGAGACTAGCCCAGGGACTTGGGCATGTTACAGGCAAGTGCTCTATCACTGAGCTACATCCCAGGGCCATTTTTGGATTTTTATTTTGAGACAGGGTCTCATTAAGCTGCTAAGGCCAGCCTCAAACTTGAGATGCTCTTGTCTCAGCCTCCTGAGTAGCTGAGGTTACAGGCATAAGCTGCTGCACCCAGCTGCACATCCGTTTCTTCATCTGAAAATGGGGCAAGCAGGCGCCTGAGTCACAGGTGTGCCCAAGGATGCAAAGAGATACAAAGGGCTTGCTGGCATACTTTTCCTGGGGTTTAATCTTAGTATTTTAGGCCCCAGATAGGAAGAACTCCAGCTTCAAGGCCCCCCACATGCCCATGCTTCCCCTGGAGAGGAGGCTACCTTAGCTCTTATAGATCAGGGATGGTTGCCAGCGGGACCTGAATGCTCAAGAGTAGTCCTGCCTCAGATCCACAAGGCAGCTTAGCTGGCTCCTACTGGCAGTAGCCCAAAGGGCACTGCTATCCTTGCAGGTGGCCTCTGGGACTGCTGCACCAGGGTCTGAACCAGAGGCCCTGGGGTGCACCCCTAGCCCCAGGAACTGAAGGAGCCTCACAACTGTGTTACCTGCCTCTTTTACTTAAGCTTGAAGAGGCCTTGTTAGAAGTAAAGTGACTCTCTGGCACATGGAACCTGGTCCTTTGCCATCAGGCTGGGCTAGGCTGGGTGAGAGAGGTAGGAAAGCTTTGGACTTTTATAGGGTATCCATAGTGAGAGATTAAATGTGTGTTCCTGAGAGGGTACATGCATGTAGTTAATGACCCCTGGAATCCGAGACCTGTGTGTCCCATACAGTACCTACTGGCCATATGTTGCTATTTATATTATAATGAAATAAAATGGAATGTTTAGTTCCTCACTCACACTAGCTGCACTACAAGAGCTCAACAGCCCCATGTGGCAGCAGTTACCACACTGGACAGCACACATATGGAACATCTCCATCACTGCAAGAAAGTTTCATGGGATAGCATTGTCCTAGATAGTTCAATGACAAGAGGGACCTTGAGCAGCATCTTTTTCTTAGAATTTTCTGTATAGAGTGTAATGGAGGCCCAAAGAAGCAAAGTAACTTGCCTCAGATTTCACAGCAAGTTTGTGGCTGCCAGAAGGTGTAACTGGATTTTTTGGAGAAATTAACCAGGCTCCTTTCATCACATGTGTGTTGCCCAGGTCTTATGCATGAGAGGCAGGCACTCTACCAACTGAGCTGTATCCCCGGCCCCTCGTGAGGGCTTTTAACAAATTCCGGACAGTCCAGTGTGGTATCAAGAAAACTGAAAATCGACCTCAGACAGAACTGGATAGCTCTTTTCTCAGAGGAGACAGGGAGAACAAAGAGGGAACAGGACCCAGAGGAGGTGAGACTGAACCCAAGGATAGGGGCCCAGACGTCCTTCCCACCCTGTCTTCTTCAGGGAAGAGAGGAAGGGACTCACACACTGTCTCCCTGGAGGAACAGCTCTGGCCGCTCTTTTAGCAAATTCTTCTTGATCCAGATGAGGAGGTTCCGGATGTCCCCTGGAGAGGAAGACACAACTAATATCAAACCAGGTGATTATTTTTTGTTTTGTTTTATTACCAGGGATTGAACCCAGGGTTGCTTAACCACTGGGCTACATCCCACGCCCTTTTTACTACTTTTTAAAACTTCAAAAATAGGGTCTTGCTTAGTTGCTAAGGCTGGTCTCGAACTTGTGATTCTCCAGTGTCAGCCTCCCGAGTCTCTGGGATTACAAACATGCGCCACCTGGTTCAGCTCTGAGCTGGCTCTGAACTCACAATCCTCTTGCCTTAGCTTCCTGAGTTGCTAGGATTATAGGCTTGCACCATGGTGCCCGGTTCATGCTAATCTTCTCTGTATTATTACAATTTTAGAAAGTGTGATGCTGAAGTGAGCACTTTTTTTTTAATATTTATTTTTTAGTTTCAGGTGGACACAATATCTTCATTTATTTATATGTGGTGTTGAGGATTGAACCCAGTGCCTCGTGCATGCCAGGCAGGTGTGCTATCACTTGAGCCACATCCCCAGCCAACGTGAGCACTTATTTTTGATCTGTTAACTAGCAAGGGATCCTCCCCCTCAGCCTCCCCAGTCGCTGGGACTACAGGTGTATGCCACCACAGGCAGCTCAAACCTAAATGATGCTTGGGTCCCAAAACCTTGCCTGGCCCAGAAGGGAGTGCATGTGGGAGCCTACAGGGCTTTTTTTGGACTAGGCTGTGATGGCCCATGAATTTGTGGGTTCTTAAGATGAGGAAACAAATTAGGAGAGGTTAGTGACTTTTCAGAGAGATCTTCACAGAAAGTGGCCCCTGGCCCTGCTGAAAGCTTGAAAAAGTACTGGACTTTACCTATAGCAAGGGACTCAAGACAGTCACATCTTATGGTCTGGGAGACAAAACCCCACCCACAAGTCCTGGAAGCTGATCTGGACTGCCCCAGCCAGGCTTCTGAGAGGGCCCTGAAGAGCCCCTTCCACCTCCATCTCCAGCCAGTCCCAGATGGAGAGGATTGGGCTTTGCTCTTGGAAGGGTCTGCATATATTTCCCTTTGTGAGGGGAGAAAAACAATCACTGAGCTGATAACATCAGTTAATTTCCTCTAGCACAGGGAGAGAAGGATCCTTCACCAGCCAGGGACACTGACAGATCACTGCTCCACCACTCCCTGCCTCCAGAGCCCTCAAGACTGGGAATGGCTACCTTGAAGATGCAAGAGGTTCAGGGTCAAAAGGGCCTCTCCTGCTCAGCTGAACACGGAGATCTGCTTCATTGTGGATCTGGTGTTCTGGAGCAGCCACCAGTCTCTGTGTACTCACACGGAGGCTCAGAGGCTGGGTCACCTCAGGATCAAAGGTGCCACAAGACAGCACACTGGGATCTGGCTCTATAAATTGCTTGGACATGAAGAGGTTTCTGCTCTGTGCTCCATGTGGGTTCAGAAGCGCAGCTCACATGCAACCGCTGCCTTGGGTAAGGCTGGAAGCACTCTCCCTGGCCTGCATGCCACCTTCCCAGGCGGAAGGCTGTAGTCAAGATGTGCTGAGCCTCGAGGTTGGGCACCAACACCCCTAGATTGTACACCAGCAGAACACAGGGCCTGTGCCTATAAACAGGCAAAGTGTCCATAAGCTGAGGCTGCTACCTTCCAATTTTACTTGGTACTGGGGATTGAACCTAGGTATGCTCTATTACTGAGCTATACCCTAGTCCTTTTTATTTTCTTATTTTGAGACAGGTTCTCATTAAATTACTGAGGCTGGCCTCAAATTTGCAATGCTCCTACCCAGCCTCCTGGGTTGCTGGGATTACAGGCATGCGCCACCACTCCTGTAGTTCCTCCTTTTAAACAATGGAGTCTGCCGGTGGCTTTCACCTATAATCTCAATCACCAGTGAGGCCGAGGACTGCAGGTTTGAGGTCAGCCTCAAACTTAATTAGCAAGCCCCTAAACAACTTGGCAAGACCCCTAAAAAATAAAAGGGCTGAGGATGTAGCTCAGGGTAGAGCATTTGCGTAGCCTGCGTAAGGCCCTGAGTTCAGTCCCCAGTACCACCAAAAACAGAGGCTAGAGGTGTAGCTCAGTGGTAAAGCACCTCAGGGTTCAATCCCCATCACCAAAACAAAACAAAGCAAATAAAATAAACAGACTGGAATTCCCAGAGTCCCTGGAACAGGCATGTGTGCGAGTACAGTTTCTAGCTATCTGTAGTCCACTTGGACTCTTGGAGGCTCCTCCCCAAGGCTTGGGTTCCAGAGGCTTTCTCTTGGCCCTGAATCCCCTTGGCCTCTACCTGGCACTGTCTGGTGGGCCTCTGGCCCATACGTCTTGTGGCCGCTCGATAGAGACGCCACAACCTGACACATCCATCAGCCAGCCTTGCGGGTGGGGCTGTGCTTGTGTGTGGAGGCAGCAACAGGGACTGGGCAGTGCCTGGACTGGGGACCACAGACTGCACCCCCACAACCCTATCTCCCTCCAAAAGGAGGGCATGTCTGCTCCATTATGGATAGGCTTGGGGGTGGGGGAGGGCCAGTGGTCATGCTGGGGTCATCCACGTGATGGCACCATCATGGAGTCCCGAGGGGTGGGCTGAGGGGTAAGTCTGCTGCCTGGTGCTGGCTCATTTATCATGATGCTCCTATTTGCTGAGGTCACTCCCTCCCTCCTCTGCCCACCCCCCACCCCAGGCCTGCCCACATTTTTGATAGCCGGTTTCCATGGTGAGGCTACCACATCACCACCGGTATTGTTTCCCCATGCTTGAATTTGAGAGTGGGGAGAGGTAGAACTCAAGGCTCCCTTCTTAGGCTGCAAAGACCACTCGGCATGGCCTGAAACACACCCCCAGGGACATCTTGCTCAGCTTGTTGAGGCCCAGACAATATGCAAATAGGCTTCAAGCCAGATGGTCGGCTTCCAAAGGCACCCAGGGGAGGAGGAAGGGTTAAGCAGAGTCGGGGGCTAGTGGCTTGAGGATGGCTCTGAGATAAAGGTGGGGCTGAGAGACTCTCAATTCCACCTTTCCACTCTGTGTTCTCCTGCCTTTCCAATTCTGCTGAGAGTGGTCTCCTTCCTATGATCCCAGGCAACCATTCAAAAGACAAACATTTATTGAGCAACTACTATGTGCCAGGTACAAGGGAGATGGTGGTGAGCAAGATGGAAGCAGAGCCCACAGTCATGGAGCTAAGAGAACAGTAGCGAAAGAGACATGACTTAAGTAGGTGATAAAATGCTACCTCCTTTGTCTGGGATCAGGAAAGGCCTTTTTTGGGGTGGTGTGGGTGGTAAGAGGGATTGAACCCAGGGGTGCTTAATCACTGAGCCACATACCCAGCCTTTTTTTTTATACTTTATTTAGAGACAGGGTCTCGCTGAGTTACTTAGGGCCTCACTAAATTGCTGAGGCTGGCTTTGAACTCAGGATCCTCCTGCCTCAGCCTCCTGAGCAACTGGGATTACAGACATACATCATCATGCTGGACTCAGGAAAGGCCTTTCTGAGGGTGTAAACACTGAAGCTCAGGTCTGAAGAATGAGTGGGGTGGCTGTGGGGGAGTACCCCAGACAGCAGTAAGAGCACACGGGAAGACCTAAGGCAGGATGGAACTGGCAGGTACAAGGTAACAGAAAGGAGAGGTTAAGAAGCTCAAAATGATGGGACCAGGGTTATGGCTCAGGGGTAGAGCTTGCCTAGCATGCATGAGGCACTGGGTTTAATCTCTAGCACCACATAAAGATAAAAACAAATAAAATAAAGAAGCTCAACATGTGGGCTGGGGTGTAGCTCAGTGATAGAGTGCTTTCCTAGCACAGGCAAGGCCCTGGGTTCTATCCTCAGCACCATATAAGAAAAAAAATAAATTAATTAAAGATATTATATTCAACTACAACTAAAAAAAAAAAAAAGAAAAAGAAGAACAGCTCAACATGAGAGGGACCCTGAGGAGGGGCCTGCTCTGGAAGGTGCCACTCTCTTTTCATGAACCCCAGCGGGGATGACCAAGTATGTGCTGTTTATCTGCCTTGACCCTTGAAGCCCGATCCAGCTCAAATATATGGCATACCCTCCCATTCCTAGAGTGGGAGCTGAGGCTCAGAACACTGAAACTCTTGCTGAACACAGGGGCAACTGAGGGGGGTGAAGAGTCAGACTAAGACCACTGACTGGAGTTGGATAGTCCTGGTTTTGAGTTGGACCCTGTCACTTGTACTTATTGACCTTGGGAAAGGAACTTCCAGAGCCTCAGTTTTTTTTCCTTGCAAAACGGGGTGGTCAGAATGCCTGACAGGTTGTTGTGAGGACTGAATAAAATGATCCACATACAATTCTTGGCACTGTGCCTGACCTATCAATGTTGTAATTATTCTGGAGTCCAGAGGGGGAACCTGTCTCCTCCATACTCTCTGGTGTCCTGGGCTTCCACACACTTGCTCTGCATAGCAGCCTGGCACCCCAGCTTTGGAAAAGTCTGTTGAGTCTAATAATTTGTCAGTCAGCGCTAGTTGGGGCTTTCTGAAAGAGAATTAGGGAAGTGGTAACATTGGGCTTCCTTCCTTTTTTTTCTTTTTTTTAATCTTTTTTTTCCCCCAGGGCTGAGGACCGAACCCAGGGCCTTGTGCGAGCTAGGCAAGCGCTCTGTCACTAAGCTAAATCCCCAACCCCACCCCACCCCCTTTTTTAAACACAGGGTCTCTTTCTGTTGCCCAGGCTGGCCTCAAACTCCTGGCTCAGGTGTTCCTCTTGCCTCAGTCTCCCAAATAGCTGGAACGATGGGCCCCTGTGCCTGACTTCTTCCTTCCATTTTTTTATATTCAGACCCATAAGATGCCAGTGACTGGTCAAAGCCCTCAGGACAACCTGGGAGTAAGGAATCACATCCTGAGGCCATGGGTGCTAGCAGCCAGACTCCTACTCATGGCACTGGGGAGGAAGATGGATACTTAATGCCAAGGTGTTCAGCATAGAAGACCTTGCGGCCTGGCCTGCCCGCTGGGGGAGGGCAAATGAAGACAGCTGCTGCTCTGTGGAAGAGTGATTAAGAGTTCCCCCTCTGGAGCCAGAGGGAACTTAGCTGTGGGCTGGATGGCCTTGAGTAGGAAGTCACTTGACCTCTCTAAGTCTTCTTGATGTCATATACCTTTCAACAAATGGGAACAACAATCCACACTCCAAGAAGACTATGTGAGAATTAAGATATAGCCTAGAAGCAGGCCACAGAGCGTGAAGCACACAGGACACGCTGAACAGACATGTACCACAGGAGCACATGGCATGTCCATCCTAGCAGGCTCCTGGGAAAGCTTCCACCAAAATCCTTGCCCCAGTGACTTCTCCTTGTCTGGGGTATACACGCTGCCCAATATGGCAAGGCCATCAAGGGTGTCAATCCCAGGCTCTTGGGGCTGAAAAGGAACAACCTCAAGGTCCCATCTGACATTGAATCCTGCCTGCAACAGACTCTCATTCAGCCTCCTTGAACACCTCAGGGGCAGGAGGTCACTCCCAGGGAGTTGTGCTTCTCCAGCAGAAGCAAGTTTTCCTGCCACTCCCATCCACTGGGCCTGTTGGTCCACAGGGCCCACGCCAACAATATGACCCTTGTCCCCATAACAGCCCTCCAGATTTAGGAGATCCTGGATCCCCTAAATCTTCCCTTCTGTAGATTATACCTTCCTGTCCCCACCAAGGCTCCAAGACAGGGTTCTTCTGGGAGCCCACCCCAGGCCTAAGTTGAAAGGGAGAAGAAAGAGCTGGCATAGGGGGAGTGAAAGAGAAGAGGGGTGGAGCGAACCTCTGAGACTCCATTTACAAATGAATGGGGTAAGAATGGAGCAGTTTGTGGGCTAAACTGGCCTCAGAAGGAGGTTTACAGATGTGCGAGGGGACGCTCCTCATTGTTTAATTAAGCAGAAAGTGGATCTTTTCAAAAGCAATTTTGCACAGGGACTGGGAGGGGTGGGAGGAGAGGAGGGAGGCAGGGAGGGGATCAGCAAACAGGCCCCAAGAGCAGAGAAAGGAACAGCTGGCCCCAGAGAGGCTGTGAAATGAATGCTAAGCAGTTTAAAGCGCCCAGAAGCTCTGCTCAGCTCCTGCCCTCCTTCACCAGCCACCCTTTAATGTGAATCAGCAGGAGGAGGGGGCATGAGAGTGGGGCGAGAAAGGTGAGGCAGTCTCCTTCCTACAGGGGAAGGGGCTGGGAGCCTGGAGTTGAAGGGATCCTTGAGTCAAAAAGGCCAGCAGCCAAAATGGCCAGACGGTGGTTGGTGCCTACCCCCAAAATCCCCTCCAATTAAGGAGATGATGACAGTTAACACACACACACACACACACACACACCACCCACCTCTTGCAAACACATACTTGCAACCACTTGCTGGGTCTGCACATCCTACTTCACAAAAGGACATATACTTACATCTGGAACCAACTTTTCCAAATTCGAGTTGTTCAACAGATATCAGGCTCAATAAAGAGTGGAATTGGCCCATCTTCCATTCTATACATGGGGAGAGAGAGGTTGGCCGAAGCCACTAATGTGCAATGCACACTGCCAGGGCTCCTCTCTTGGAGTTTCATCCCCTTTGGCCTCTCCTGTCCTTTTACCATGTGGGGTGGGTTGGAAGTTCTCCCCTGGCCCAGGACCCACAGGTCCCCTTTTTTGTGAGACTTATCATAGTCTACAGTTTTTTTTTTCTTTCTTTTAATACTGGGAATTGAGCCCAGGAGCACTCTACCTCTGAGCTACCTCCAAGCCCTTTTCATTTTGACCAGGGTCTCATTAAGTTTCCAAGGCCTTGAACTTATGATCCTCCCGCCTCAGACTCCAGAGTTGCTGGGATTGCCACCATGCGGAGCAGTCACAATCTGTGATCCATGGCTCTTGCTATTTCAGCTGGAGTATCTAAGACCTGCTTGGCCAAGTGGCAGCCAGGGCTGGGAAGGTTGCCAGATGACAGATCTGGGCATGGATTGGGGAGAGAATATAAGACTTCTCCAGCAGCATCAGGCCCCTTGGGTTCATGAGTGCCAGAGTAAGGCCTGGCAACTGCAAACTAACTCTGTGGCTGCAATGTGACCTGTGCCTCTGGACACCGTAAGTCACAAATGGGGACCAGGAGTGAGCAATAGGGGCATCTTGCCTTCCTTCCCTGGGTTGATGGGCCTCCATGTTTTGCTATCTGGCTGAAGAATGAAGGAACAGAAACCTGAGTCCTAGCTCCTAGCCCAGCTTCCCTACCTAGGTAATTGTGGACAGGTCTCAGGTCCCTCCTCCTCTATCTGTTTTCCTTCCCTCTGAGGTCTGACTTCCTTGGTGATAGGATCTGTCAGGGTCATAACAAAAATTAAACTAAATAACCAATGAGGGTCATGAGTGAAAGTAACAGTGTAAAAACTGGAAAACAGGTCTTGGGTGTGATACCTCAGGGTGATTCAGGGAGCCTCTTGGAACAAATGATGGGTTAATGCTTGGACTGCAGAGACCTTGCGGTCTGGGTGTGCTTCCCAGTGCACTTTAACTTATTTATGTAATTTTTGGTAATGCTGGGATTCAAACTCAAGGCCTCCTGCATGCCAGGTAAGCTCTCTACCACTGAGCTACACCCCCAGCCCAGTTTCGGCCTTTTAAAATTGAAATAATAGGAGCTATCTCCTAAGAATGTGGGAAAATGATCTACAAAACCTACTGAGACTTTACCTGCCACTCCAAACTCAGCCTGTGCCCGCCTTAATCCTGGCCTTCTTTCAGCTCTCTACCCAGACCAAGGCTTTTTGCCCCTTGGAGTTTTCCCAAGTGCTGTCTCCCTGCCTGGAAAGGCCCAGGCCTCTTTGCTCTCTCCCTGCAGTTTATCAGGTTGGCTTCCTTCCATTCTTCAGGCCTTCACTCAACCTCATCTCCTTGAACTGAAGAGGCCTTCCTTGACCACTTGTTCGTCCCATTCCAAGCACCTATGTCCTCTTCTTTTTTTTAAATTTTTTTAATATTTATTTTTTAGTTATCGGCGGACACAACATCTCTGTTTTGTATGTGGTGCTGAGGATCGAACCCGGACCGCACGCATGCCAGGCGAGCGCGCTACCACTTGAGCCACATCCCCAGCCCTCAGTATATATTTGTTCAAGAAAGATTAACAAGTTTCTCCTTTAGTCAACCTCCCTCCTCCAATCTTTCTGGCTGGAGCCTTTTCATTAGTCTAAATCTCTGCACTGTCAGGAGAGTCCAATTGTTTGGTCCGTTCTCAGGGAAGGTTACCTCCTTGAAAAGACCTTCCCTGTGCTGCCACATTATAATAATAGAGGGCTGGAGATATAGCTCATTTGGTAGTTGCCTCACATGCACAAGGCCCTGGGTTCAATCCCTAGCACACACCCCCACCCCCCACATAATGGCATAATTTACTTCCTCCTCCTAACATCTCTAAGAGAGAAGGACTGCCAACCCACTTCACAGCTGAGAATACTAGAGTTAAAGAAGACTAGGTCTCTGGCCTAAGGTTCTAAGGAGTATGAAACCTTCACAGAATTAAGTAACCCCACTTCCCTCCCACGAAGCTGGTTGATCCCAGAAAAGATGGGAGAAAAGTATTCTGGTGACTTTTTCTTCCTTCCCACCCCTGGCCAGGGAAATCCTACCCATTTCCACTGAACAGGGCTAAATGATCCCATAGACCCTCTCCTGCCCAATATCCACTCCCCCACCCCAGCTTAAAAAGCTAATACTCACAGGGCTCCTCCTGCTCAGGCAAGGTGACTTGATGTTTTTTTACACCATCAAATAGGAGCTCCGCACCACCTCTGCAAAGGAAGGCCAAAAAAGACAGCCAGGTGAGCTCCTGCAAACAGAACTAAGGATGAGAACTAAGATGAGAATGGAAGAAGAACTAAGGATGAGAATGGAAGTAGAAGCCCAAGAGATAGAGACCAAAGTTCAGGAACAACACGGCACTGGTGACTAACTCTCAAATGCGACTTCCTGCTGTGGTAAGGTAGGTATAAGTAATTTTTACTAATAATCAAGCAGACTGTTTGCCCCAGAAGCAGCCGAGTACAGTTACAGAATATTAGCTTTGGAGCTGCCAATTCCAACATGGAGACCAGGCTCCATCTCTGCTGACCAGGGCATGGGACTCCATCTTCTCATACCTTGATCTTTCCATCTGCAAAAATGCTGAAAAGCCTTGTAAGACCTTCTGCAGATCCTGTGCATCTCAAAGTTTCCTCTGGCCAGGTGAGGTCTAGAAATGAACCTGTCCCTGTCCCCTGCTGCTAGCCTGGTGGGCATACCACAGCACTGGAGGCTGAGAGTCCACTGAGCTCTCAGCCTCAGCTAGCATCCACCAAGAGTAATCCTGCCATTTATAAGATGCTCCTCACCTTATTTCATCCTCAAGGCATCACAGGGAAGAACTGGGAGGGAGGCAGATATCATTAACTCCATTTCATAGAGAAGCAGGCTGATTCCTGGAAAGGTTAAGTGACTTGTGCAAGGTCAGACAGGAAGCAGCTACACTAAAATATGAATCTAACTGGTTTCTGCTCAGCCCCAGCAGCCTTGCTGAAAAATAAATAAATAAGACTCCCCAAAGGTCAGAAAGCCCCCTGAGGGCAGAGTTTGGTTCATTTCTGTGTCTCAACATTGTGCCCTGGGAAGGCAGGAACAGCAGAGATAATCAGAGTCAAGTACAGAAGCCAGGACTCCTGATGTGGGCAGCAGGACTCTTTCAGTGCCCCATACTCATCTCCCTTTGGGTCTCCTGATTCCCATCTCAGACCTAACATGGGTCTGACCTGAGAAGGCCCTAATAGACTTGATGGATGGGATACCTCCCAGCCTACCACCCTTTCCCAATTTCAGGGAACAGAGATGTCCTGAGACAGCCCACTGGGAGGCAAAGGCAAGGAAAGCATTGTCATGGGAGAAACATGGGGCGACTGTCATCCAAACAAGGTCACGCTTTGTTGATGCAGAAATGTGGAGGGGGAGCAGAGGCCCATCTGTGGCTGTGTGCAGGGCCATTTCAGCTGCAAGCCCGCACAGAGCCTCCATTTATCTCCTTCCAAGAGCCTCATTTTCTCCTGGGTAGGGGTTGGCACATGTAGCAGCTGGGATGGGGGATGGTGACAGGCAAGGGGCTCAGGAATTGGGGGTCAGAGAAGATGGGTGGGAACTGGAGGCACTGGGACCCAGGCAAACAACCAAGAGTGGCCAAAGCTGGTGGTGCCAGTCTCAGAGGCTGAGTCTGTTTTTTCCCTTTATAAATGGATGAAGGCAGAACCAGTCTGGCTCAGAGAGTAACCTGTCACTGCTGGGTTCACTGGGCCCCAGGGGAGGGGTTGGCACTTCTGTCAGCACATCTGTAGTGGGGGAAAGTGCACACCAAGCCTCTAGAGTGATCCTAGGAGGCAGACAAGGGGCCTGTTCTAGCCCCATGGACCCAACCAAATCTTCTTATGTCTTACAGGATTTGCTATGCAACTCAACTAAGATCTCCATCTTCTCTCCACGTGCCCAGACATTCCTGCTGGATGTCTGTTTATACCAGTGACAGATACAGACATTCCCAAAACTGTCTTCCTTCTACTAGTTCATCTTCATTGTCTTTATCATCTATTCATCTATATTTGGTTCTTTCTTTAAAAAAATATATTACTTCAGTTGTGGATGAATCTTTATTTTTATTTATTTATTTATTTTTATGTGGTGCTGAACCCAGTGCCTCATACATATTAGGTAGACGTTCTATCACTGAGCCACAACCCCAGTCCTATATTTGATTCTTTATTTCCCTTCTACCTGCTGGAATACAAGCCCTGCCTAAAACAGGGCCTAGCACACAGTGGGCGCTCAACAAATATTTGCCAAATAAATGAAAATGTCCATTTTTCTTATTTTTTCTCTGACCTCAATGGTACCCTCCTTTGTTAATACTTCCCCAACTCAGGGAGGAGGAAAAGGAATGTGGTAAAGAGAATCTTACATTTGAATTTTAACAGCCTGAACTGAAGGACTCAAAACACATCCATACTACGCACTTTTGAATTCTGAGAAAAAGCTCTGCTAGGAACAGTTCAAGAGGGAAGACAAAAGATGGCAGAACTAGTTACTGACAAAAGAGAGAATGGTGCAAGAGGCTTTTTAGAAGGCTCAAAAAAGAGCTGATGGGGGCTGGGGATATATAGCTCAGTTGGTAGAGCGCTTGCCTGACATGCACAAGACCCTAGGTTCAATCCCTAGCACCATCATACACACACACACACACACACACACAAAAAAAAAAAAAAAAAAAAAAGCTGATGGGGCCAAGAGACTATATCTGCTCAGGGGTTAGAGACAAAGTCCTAACCCAAACTCTTCTAGGATCTGTGATGGGAGGGAAACAAGGGAGATAAGGGTGGGCACAGCAGCTTAGGTTCAGGGTGAAACACATCTACTAAGAGATGTAGGATGGGGCTGGGGATGTGGCTCAAGTGGTAGCACGCTCGCCTGGCATGCGTGCGGCCCGGGTTCGATCCTCAGCACCACGTACAAACAAAGATGTTGTGTCCGCCAATACTTGAAAAATAAATATCAAAAAATTAAAAAAAAAAAAAAGAGATGTAGGAAGTAAAAGGTCAGAGATAAAAATATGCAAGACAGAGAGCAGGGACTTGGGTTTGCAATGCATCTTGGGCATTCTTACTTCCCAAGAAGATACAATTCTCATGGGACAATGGTGTGGGTAGTGATGGAAGGAGGTAGATAGATGGGTAGAGGGATGTTGTCTTGTTTTGCTGGAACTCACTACTGCTCTTGGGGGTAAGGGAAGCTGAAACTAGAAAAGAAGTAATTATGTTGGCCTGTGAATTCATGACTTCCTCACTGTTGCCCGCACAGTATCTGGAAGACAGAAGACATCTCTGGTGAACAAACACCATGTCTGCTTAATGAGAATAAAAGGCAAGTTGACTATGGATAAATCCCAGCCTGGCAATCTGAAGCTTCTCCCTTTACAGCTCTACTGAGGCCTGTCAAGACAGAAGGGATTCTCCTAAAATGCCCAGGCTTTAGGGTACAGCTGGGCCAAGGGTGAGTGAAGCAAAATAGTCAGAAAGCCTGACCAATGTAGTTCTAATTGGATCCAAGCGGCTAGACAATAATCATCAATTAAAATGCACTTAACATTCATGAGGCTATCCCCTTCTAAGGGACAGAAATGCTGAACACTGTAGGGCATGGACAGAGTGCTATTTATCTTTGTATCCTCTGTGTCTGGCTCATTGCCTGGCACATGGTAGGCACTCAATAAATGACTGGTGAATGAACCACCCAATGAAGGGAAAACATGAAAGAAACTGGGAGCATCCAATGAGAGGAAAGGCATTTGGACAGAGGTTTTAGATTCCTATCCCTGACTTTTCCTCTCCCTTTCCCAGTGCGCGTGCGCGAGCACACACAGAGTCCCATCCTTTTCATGTGATTCTGGCAATGATATCACCACCCATCTTTTAGGGTCTCAGTTTCTTTGCTGTCTCTCTAAGCTATGCAGTTTTTCTCAGTTTTTAATTTTTATTTTGAGACAGTTGCACAGGGCCTTGCTAAGTTGCTGAAGCTGGCCTTGAACTTGCAATTCTCCAGTCTCATACTCCTCCCTAAAGGCTACCAGGATTACAGGTGTGCACCACCATCCCTGGCTTTCTCTGTTTTGAAACCAGGACAAACCTGTTTGTTGGAGGGATAAGATAGTGGCTTAAGAAGATTTCCTCTCTACCGTTTTCTTCAGTTATTGATGTGTTCCAATCCCTGCATTTTCATCTTGTGCAAAATATACTGCCAATATTAGTCTCTCCCAATGTGGTTATCACATTTATCCCCATACCTCTACTCGACTCAAGATCTGCAGAGGCACTCAGCAAGTTTATTGACTATCCTGAAAAGAGCTTCAGGTCTTTTTAAAATCCCAAGTCTTGCGAAAAAGAAGAAGAAGAAGAAGAAAAAAAAAAGAGTTCCGTCTTGTCCATACATCCCACAGGAAACAAAGCCTCAAGAACCGTGTAAGCGGATATTGAAACTGCTGCCTGAAGAAAGAAATCATGGGTTGGAGAGCGGTTCTTTCAAGGAGCCAGATGCCAAACCGATGGACCTGGTAAAGTGCGTAGAGAGGCCACCCGATAACCGTCATGTCTTTTGAGCCTTACAGGTACTGGGCACAGCGGAGTACCCAGAGCGCACCTCCCCGCCCGTGTGTGCGCCTCTATTCCCGGACATACGGCGTTGCCAAGGGAGACTGAGCCTATCAAACTCGAGGCGGGTGGCACCGCTCACGGCAGGCGCCGGGAGCTCGGCAACTCGGCCGTGTCAGGCCTCGAGACAGGAGAGGAGTTGCGGGCCCGAGGACTTCAATCCATACCCAGGGCGCCCCAGCTCTGTTACTCACCCGAACTCCACCTCCACTGACAAGGGCGCTGCCATGTTGAGGAAGCCGAGCTCGCAGGAAACTCCCCTGAACTTCCGGAGCTCCCGCCCACTTCCGGTCGCCGCCTGGAGCCACGTCCGGAAAAGGCGGTGCCCAAAGGTCATCTTCCTCAGCTATTGGAAGGCGCGGAGGGCGGAGGAGGGAAAGTCACGGGCGTTCCCGGGGATCAGGAGTCGATGTGCCTCCGCCTGTTGGCGGCCGGGTTCCAGGACCCGGACTGGGAATCAACTTGAGGCCGCAGCTAGGCGGAAGACAGCCCCAGCACCTTTTCGGCAGACTGTGAGCCACATTACTGTTTATCTTGCGTTAGTTACAAATCGAGCCCATTCACTCGTCTGACGTCATAGTGACCTCCTAAATATTTCTGACACCAAAGTCTCGCCCCTGAGCTATCAACTCACTGTCCAACCGCCCCTTTGGATATTAAGCTGGCTGTCACTATTCAGAATTTATTCCATGTTCATGTGCCCAGCATCTTGTTTGGTGCTATGGATGCAGTAGCAAGGGGCAGGGAGTGTGTGTATGTGTGTGTGTGTGTGTGTGTGTATGTTTTAAAACCCTCTTTGTGTTGGGAGTCGAACCCAAGGCCTCGTACATGCTAGGCAAGCACTTTATTACTGAGCTACATTCCTAACATGCAGTATCTTTAGGGCACTCACACTCTAACCGGGAAAAAAATCTGTAATAAAATAAACATGCTGGGCTGGGGTTGTGGCACAGTGGTAGAGCGCTCGCCTAGCATGTGCGAGGCCCTGGGTTCGATCCTCAGCACCACATAAAAATAAATAAAATGAAGGTATCGTGTCCAACTACAACTAAAAAAGAAAATATTAAAAAAAAACCCAAGAAATAAGCATGCTAATCAATCATATATATTATAATCAATCAATCATATTGTACTGGGGATTGAACCCAGGGGCCCTTAACCACTGAGCCACATCCCCAACCCTTTTTTTAATAAAATGATTTTTTTTTTTTTAAGATGCTCAGATTTTTTTTTTTTTTTTTAGAGAGAGAGAGAGAGTTTTTTTAATATTTATTTTTTAGTTTTCAGCGGACACATCTTTGTTTGTATGTGGTGCTGAGGATCGAACCCGGGCTGCACACATGGCAGGCGAGCATGCTACCGCTTGAGCCACATCCCCAGCCCCATAAAATAATTTTTTAATTGTCAATGGATTCTTTTTTTTTTTTTTTTTAGTTGTAGTTGGACACAATACCTTTATTTATTTTTATCTGAGGTTTGAACGTAGGGCTTCACACGTGCTAGGCTAGCGCTCTACAGCTGAGCCACAACCCCAGACCCTGAATCTTTATTCTATTTATATAAGGTGCTGAGAATTGAACTCAGTGCCTCACAGTGCTAGGCAAAAGCTCTACCACTGAGCTACAACCCCAGCCCTGAAGTCCTTTTTTGTATTTATTTAGAGCCAGGGTCTCACTGAGTTGCTTAGGACCTCACTAAGTTCCTGAGGCTGGCTTTGAGCTTATCATCATCCTGCCTCAGCCTCCTGAGCTGCTGGGATTATAGGCATGTGCTACCATACCCAGCTAAGAAAGGCTTTTTTTTTTTTTTTAAAGAGAGAGAGAATTTTTTAATATTTATTTTTTAGTTATCGGCGGACACAACATCTTTGTGTATGTGGTGCTGAGGATGGAACCCGGGCCGCACGCATGCCAGGCGAGCACGCTACCACTTGAACCACATCCCCAGCCCAAAGAAAGGCTTTTAAGTGGTAAGACACTTCAATAAGAAAGGGGGAGCTAGAAATGTAGTTCAGAGGTAGAGCCTTAAGTTCAGTCCCTAGCACTGCAAATAAACCTGACTGGACTTGCTGGGCTTTAAAGCCTAAGTAGAGTGAATTGAGTGGATATGAGAGAAGCATTCCAGTGAGGAGAGCAAAAGGTGAAAATAAGCTGAAGCATCAAGGGAAGAAAGTGGAAGTTGGGGAGCAGAGATGGAAATTGCTAAGAGATGAGGCTAAGCCAAGCCATGCCTTATAAGCCAGGTAAGCATTTCAGTGTCTAGGAGCACTACTGCTTGACTTGAGGCTGTGGAAGGTTTGGGGAGGGATGGAATTGTGCTTTAAAATAACTCAGTGGTAGAGTGGTTGCCTAGCATGTGCAAAGCCCTGGTTCAATCCCCAGCACCACAGACAAATAAAAATTTAAAAACTTTTTTCTGGCTGCAGTGTCAAATGGTTTGGAGGGAAACACGGAAGAGGATATGGAGACAACTGAAGTTTGTTACAAAAACCCAAGGCAGAAATGGAGTGGAGCAGAGTGGGTGTTCTATGGGTCTCCAAACATTAGTACTCCCAGAGTTGAGCACTGGTAGAGGATGGTGATGTAGCCTGATGGTTAAAGATGTAGTGATTATGTTAAGAGCTAGCAAAAAAAAAAAAAAAAAAAAAGCTAGCAGTTCGGCTGGATGCAATGGCACATGCCTGTGATCCCAGCAATTCAGGAGGCTGAGGCAGGAGGATCATAAATTTGAGACCAGCCTCAGCAACTTAGTGAGACCCTGTCTCAAAATAAAAAAATAGGGGCTGGGGATGTGGCTCAAGCGGTAGCACGCTCGCCTGGCATGCGTGCGGCCCGGGTTCGATCCTCAGCACCACATACAAACAAAGATGTTGTGTCCGCCGATAACTAAAAAATAAATATTAAAAAATTCTCAAAAAAAAAAAAATAAATAAAAAGGGCTGAGGACTTAGCTCAGTGGTAAAGCCACACTGGGTTCAGTCCCCAGCACCAAAAACAAACAAAAAAAACCCTAGCAGTTCAACTGCCAGTTTTTATCCAGGTCTCATCACTGCCCTAGCTGTTTCTTTGGGCAGGTCCCTTAACAATTTGTGTCCCAGCTTCCTCATTTGTAAAATAGGAAGAATAGTTTCTTACAAGGGCGTGGAAAGGACTGAATGAGTTCTTGGCACAGTGCCTCTTTCCCTAAAATAGGCTCTGTGTTGTCCATCTTTGGGGTTGTAGGTGCCACTGCTCCTCACACAAATACCAAGATACTCAAATACTTGAATATTGCTTTAAATTCTCTCCCTTTTCCTCCATTCAACCACCAAAATTGGACCAGTCTTACTTTTAACATGATTTTGCAACCCCCCAAATTTTCCCTGACACCCAGCTCACAACCACCCTCTCACCCACATCTGCTTCCTCTGGCCTATCTGCCTGTGGCCTTAGCTTCATGTGCAGTTAAACTCCATGGACAACTCTGGGCCCCTTCAGTGTGCCAGGCAGTGTTCTAGGGCCCTGACAAAACAAGGGCAAATGAGCTATAGCTCTGGTTCTCATAAAATGCAAGTGAGTCTACATGTCCTACATGGAAAGGCCCCCCACACACACACACATACCTTGCTACGTGGGCCACTTCCCCTCTGGAACTCAGTTTCCTCAATCTGTAAAGAGAGTCTGGGACCAAATGATCTCTTTCAGCAAAAAAATATTCTTAGATTCTTCCACTGAATTCTTAGCTTCTCCAGAGCAAAAACCTTTTCTGATTCATCTTGGATCGTTATCCTGTAAGGAGGAACTTTGTACATCATAGGGATTTGGTAAGTGCTTGCTGAATGAGCAAAAAAAATTAACAAGTGATATTTGCCAGCAAGGGCCCATCTAGAAAGCATTCAGGTCCTTTTACAGCCTCTGATCCCAACCAGCCTCTGCTGAGTATCTTAAGATCCTAGGAATTGCCACTTCCCAGAGCTGGAAGGAGAGATTGCTTGGGAGCATTTGAAGAGCATCCTCCATTAGAAAAACATTCATTGAGCACCTGGTAAGTGCCAGGCCCAGTGCTGGTGCTGGGAACACAATGGTGCACAAAAACAGCTAGTTCCTGTCCTCTTGGGGCTGATGTTCTAGAAGAATGGAAGGCAAAACAGGATGCATGGTGAGATCAGTGTTATGGAGGGGAACAGGGGAGCTGTTGGAGGCCCCAACCCAGCTTCATGATCTCACGGAGGCTTCCTGGGAGTCAATTAAACCAGATCCACTGGGATTTAGAAGGTAGAGGTGGAGGTGGGGAAGGAGAGGGCACAGACAGACCAGAGTTGTCCCTCCTTCCTCTAGATTCTAGGTAGTCCTCAGACTTGTCCTGGTTACTGGGAGCTCACCTCTTGAATGAGCTGGCCCAATCTGTGGCTTCCCACCTCTCACTCAAAAGTGCTTCCTTCACCTGACCCCAATCCCATTCCCTTGAACCCCTCAGTGACAATACTATTTTACCAGTGTATGCTTTCAAAGAATATTTATTAAACTTGAACATTGTCTTTGCATCTGCCAGGTGATTTACATGCATTACCTAATTTATTCCTCCCAGGGACTCCCATCTTTCCTATGAGTAAACTGAGACAGAACATGTGGCTTGCCCAAGGACCCCTAAGTATGAGGCCTCAAACCAGGTTTTAGAGCCTTCAGGATCCCTTCCTTGTCCCTATCATTGAGCCTCAATGCCTTCCCTTCAACTAGTCTCAACCAAATGTCTTTCCCTGGGACCCAGAACAGGGGTTTGGGCCCCAAACCCTGTCCCTTCCAGCAGGCTGTCCAGCCAGGGCATAGGCCTCCATCCTCTCTGAAGCTTCTGGGGAGACAATGGCAGGGTTGGTGGGGGAGATGAGGGCTCGGGTGCCCCCCTGCCCACACCCTTTGTCTTCCCGCCTGCTCCTCTCACGCGCCCCGGGAGGCTGGGAGTCGCCTCTCGCAGGCTTCCTCCTCCCATTCTTGTGCTAATTGGGTGTCAAGCTGAGATCAGTGAGAAAGAAATCCGCCCTGGCTCGGGTTAAACTGCCGCCAAAGATGAGGGCTGAGCCCAGAATATCATTAGACCAGGAGGAAGCAGGGCCCCTTTTGGGGGAGGGACTGGCAGCGCATTCAGGCCCCTTTGAAAGTCACTCAGTCGCCCCCTCCCTTGCTGTTGCCATTTCAATGGGCCCCTCAGAGGTATTTAACCTTCCCAGGAATTGAAAGTGATAGCCACGCACTGGCCTGGGCAGGCACTTGCCTGTCCCGAGGGCAAATGGACCTCCAGGGACGCTGCAGCCCAGCCCTTTCCAGCCTTCTCCTGTGGAGCAGGCAAGTTGCAGGTGGGAACACCGAGGCTCGAGGCTCTGCTCAGAAGGGGATTTTTCTCCCAGCTCTGCCATTCTCAGGCTCTGTGGTCTTTCTCTCTCATAAGGCTCAGATTCCTCATCTGCAGAATGGGGATGAAAACTGTACCTACTTGCATTAAGAAAATTTAATGAAACCATGCACAGAAAGCCCTTTGCACAGGGCCTGGTGCACAGGGTCTGGTAGTCAGGCAGCGCCCCAGACTTGACAGCAAGTCTAAGGAAGTTGGTTTGACCAGCTACTAGGACCTCCAGATATCTGGCCTCGATTCTAATCCCCTTTACAAACCTGCAGCCTACCACCCCTCTTTTTACATTTACTTTTTTTTGTGTGTGTGGTGCTGATTGAGCCCAGGGCCTTGTGCATGTGAGGCAAGCACTCTACCAACTGAGCTATATCCCCAGCCCCTACATTTACTTTTTTTTTTTTTTTAGTTGTAGATGATGGACACAATATCTTTTTATTTTATTTTTATGTGGTGCTGAGGATCGAACCCAGTGCTTTCACCTGTGCGAAACAAGCACACTACCGCTGAGCCACAACCCCAGCCCTATTATCTTTGATCCACTCTGATGGCATTGTGCCCCTCACTCTCCTGAAGGAAAAGAATGACTATCAGTGACAAATAGCTGCTTTGCACCCAGAGAGAAAGCTGTACCTCTGCCTCATGGTGTCCAGTGCTCTCTGCATTCAGAGAAACTTCTAGTAATGAACTATAGAAATGACCCATTAGGACTGGAGTTGTGGCTCAATGGAGGAGCACTTGGCCTGGCATGTGTGAGGTCCTGGGTTTGATCCTCAGCACCGTATATAAATAAGTAAATAAATAAAAATAATAAAAAAGACCCATTGACAACTAAAAAATATTTTTTAAAAGTGACCTGTTAATATTATCCTTCCTTAACCTGCCCTTCACTTCCAGGCCTTGGCATCTGCCTGGAAGCTTCTGGAAAGTCCTCCCTGTTCCAGTGTGCTTGGTTAGGTGCAGCTCAGCACATGGCTTTGGCTTTTCTATTTGCCAGCCTCTTCCCCCACCATGCAGACTGGGGGCTCTCTGAGGCAGACTTAGAGCTCGGGGATCTGTCAGGCTATCGAGGGCAGGCTTTAGAAGCTGCTCAATACATGATATGGTGGTGCACACCTGTAATCCCAGCAACTCGGGAAGATGGGGCAGGAGGATTGCAAGTTGAAGACCAGCTTGGACAACTTAGTGAGACCCTGTCTCAAAATAAAAAGGGCTGGGGATGCAGCTCAGTGATAGAGCACTACTGTTTGGTACTGGGGATTGAGCCCAGAGGTGCTCTAACAAAACAAAATAAAAATTTTTAAAAAATCAAACTTAAAAAATATAGTTATCTTCTCAGAAGATGAACTGCATTGTGGTCTGTGAACTGTACCACTAGGTAAATGTCACCAACTGCCTGGTAAACAGTAGCTATTATGTGGTTAATTAACTTCACAACCATGTATTGAGCAACTGCAGCATGCATGGAGATGATGGAGAGCTGTAAGGCCTCCATTGTGGATGGTGTGGTGGGGGGGGGGCTGGTGTGGAATTGGGAAACTTTCTCTGGGATCTTAACATCTGAACACACTTTTTCTCCTTTTAAATGATGTACACTGTGCTGAGATTTTCATGCATGATCTTGTACTTTTCACAATTCAAAGTGAGGACTCCTTGGCCAGTGTATACAGGAAAAGGAATTGAGTGCAAATGGTAGAGCTCGGATTTGAATATAGGCCCATCTGACTCCAGGGCCACAGCTCTGAACACCACACTGCCTCTTGGTGACTGCTCAACATGGAGGAAGGAACGGGCCTCCTCTAGAGGTTCCTTCCCATTGTAGAGAACTCACTACTGAGGATTAAAGATATCAAGATGCTCCACTAACCAAGCCAAGCCTCTTGCAGGCATAATCAAAGGTCCTCAAAGGCCACCATAGGGTCTTCTGGGTGGGGTACCTGCTTAGGGACCAGGCAGGAGGCACAGCCTCCTTGCTTCCCTTGGCTTGAGTGTTAAAGTTTGGGACTGAATTCTTCAAACTCTGTGCACCCTCTGCTGGCCACATTTGGAAATGCAGACATACCTGCCACCCCAAATCCCTCAGTATGGGTAGGAGGCCCCTCTTCAGGTCAGCTCCCTACTTTTCTACCTGTCAGGAGAAAAGACTCCTCTTTCAAGGCCGCTCCCCCAAGAGGCACCTCAGTTTTCTTCACCAGGCTCCTGACTGCCTGAACTGTCAGATGATGGCCCAGGGTGTGGTGCAGAGCTGGCTCTGGAGGCATGTGTGGAATGAAACTTCCAGCTTCTTGTTGCCTTTTGCATCCAGAGGAAGAATAGTATGGGGGGGCGGGGACTGGGGCTTGGGTTTGCATTCCAACCCCCCACTTCTGTGACTTTAGCCAAGTGACTTAAAAATCTCTAAGTCCTAGGTCTTTCTTCAAATAACCCATTTGTGTAAAACCAACTTCATACACTGGACAAAGGTTCAACAGTGGAGATGAAGCCCCCCAGGGGTGTGTACCCCCCACCACCCTGGGTGGTGTTGGGACCCTTCCCCACTGCACTGATTCCTGGGTATGACTCTAGCAATGGGGCCCAGGACAGCTGGCTCCCCATCTCACTGCTGCTTGCTGCTCCAGGGCTGCCTGGCAGGCTAGGCCACCTCACTCTGGTTCTCTAATCAACCTGGGCAGAACTTTCCCACCTCTGAACAACTGGGGCACCAGACAGGGAGGAGCAGAGCACAGGCCTGGAGATGACCCTGCCTTCAGGGAGACTTCCCCTCAAAGCCCAGGCACCCTCTTCCTTATAATGGCCTTTTTTGCCTTCTGAATGCTTTTTGTTTGTGTATTTGTGGTACTGGGGACTGAATCCAGGGGTACTCTGGAACTGAATTACATCTCCAGCCCTTTTTTAGACAGGGTCTCACTAAGGTGCCCAGGCTGGCCTCCAACTTGGGAACCTCTTGCCTCAGCTTCCTGATTTGTTGGGATTACAGATATATGCCACCATACCTGGTCCAAGGCCACAAGCTTCTGCTTTTTTTTTTTTGGTACCTGGGTTTGAACTCAGGGGCACTTGACCACTGAGCCACATCCCCAGCCCTATTTTGTATTTTTATTTAGAGACAGGGTCTCACTGAGTTTCTTAGCACCTCACTGTTGCTGAGGCTGGCTATGAACTTGTGATCCTCCTGCCTCAGTCTCATGAGCCACTGGAATTACAGGCATGCGCCACCATGCCTGGCTAAGCTTCCGCTTTTGAGTGACAGCTGGTCTGGACTTTGAAGCTCAAGCTGTTAAAACAAATACCTTGCCAGACTTGGTGGGAACTGCCCCCATCTAAGCCAGCACATAAGCAAGGGCTGTGGCATTTCACTTTACCTGCTCTACCTTTAAGTCCAAATGAGTCAGTGGACAAGTTAGTTAATGGGCCAGATAAGCAGAAAGTAGGGCCTGAGCAGACTGGGGGCTCCAGGGGAGGATGGGCTCAGGTGGAATGCACACAGGATAGGAGGCATCAAGGCAGAGTTTATTGGCCTGAAGGCCACCCTCCCATTCCTCCTCCTCTCATAGCCAGGCCAGGAAGGAGATGGAGATAGTGACGCTGACCCATACAGACAGGGCCTGTAAGACAGCCAGGTACCCCCCAAGCAGATGAAGATGTAGGGGTTTGGAGAGATAAGGGTTGGTGTCCTGACCTCCTGCTGCAGGTGAGGTATGGTGGGGCCACGTCGGGTCTTCCTCCTCTCCACCTAGAGGGGTGGGCAGCTCTGGGGCAGATTCTTTCTGGTCATCAGATTGATGGCCATTACTGTTCCTGCCCAATCGCTTGGCTTCCTGAGTCTGGAGGCTTCTGCCTTGGTCCCGTTTATGAAAAGCCCCTGTTCTTTGGAGGGAGCTTTGTGACCCCTATGCCTCTCCCTGCCCTGCCTGACCCAAGACGACATCCTGAGGCGGCCCCCCGTTAGTCTCAGCCTGGGGCCCAGAAGATCACTTGGACATGCAGCTTTCACAGAAAGCTTATGCAAGGGTGTGGAGGCGGCAGTGAGTCACTTGGCAGTTGTGGAGGGAGGGGTCAGCACCTCAGGGAGGAGGTGTGGCCCTGCTTGCTTTGGTCTGGCATCACCCAGGACCCCTCTGAGTGGAAGCTGAGGCTTTGGATCCAGCATCACTGGCCTCAGAGGGATGTGGGGGGCAAATCACAGCTTCTCCTCGCCTGCCTGGATGCGGGCATAGGCCTCTTGGTCCAGCGGGACATAGCAGCCTTTCCGGGCATCCAGATAGAAAAGCGGGTCTTTCACAACAGCTGGGTCAAAGCCCTCCTTCCGTAGCTCTGTCTTCTGGAACTTGTAGGTCCCTGGGAAATGAAGAGGACAACTCAGCACAGGAGCTCGAGTCTTTCTCAACCCCTTCGAATCTGGACTGGCCTCGTGACTTGCTCTGACCAACAGAATGCGGCGAAAGCGATGTCTTAGGTCAGTCTAGGTCTCAAAGGGCATTGCTGCTCTTTCCCCACCTCCTGGGGGTGCCCTGAGGCCAGTCCAGCCTTCAGAAGGATGAGAAGCTGCATGCAGCAGAGATGAGGCCTCTAGACTGGCACTGTCCTGTGGGGGTAGTCAATGCCCTATGTGGCTATTTATTTATTTATTTAATATTTATTTTTTAGTTTTCGGTGGACACAACATCTTTGTTTGTATGTGGTGCTGAGGATCGAACCCGGGCCGCACGCATGCCAGGCGAGCGCGCTACCACTTGAGCTACATCCCCAGCCCCCCTATGTGGCTATTTAAAGTTAATTAACATTAAACACAATTTGGAAAAAAAAATTTGGATTTTAGTTCTTTAGTCACAACAGCCACATCTCAAATGATGAACAGCTTTGCAGGGCTAATATATACTGTACTGCTGAGACAGCAAACATTTCTATCACCTCAGTTCTGCTGGTCAGTGCTGCACAAGTGACCAGCCCAGAGCCAGATGTGAGACTACCTTAGACTCTCCTGGCCTGAGTCCCTAAGTGATGGTAGCTCTTGGAATGACCCCTAGGCAAGGCCAACAGAATTGCTCAGTTGAATTTGGCTCCCAAACTTCTGACCCACAGAATTGTTAGTAAATAAAGTAGTTGAAGTGCTTTGGAAGCCAGCTGTTCTTCAGCAAAGCCATGTGGAAGCTGAGGCCCAAGCCTGCCTCTCCTGGACAGAACAGAAGTCACAGGTATCAGTCCTCAGGGGATGAGCAGTCTATGGCTTCAGCCTGGCACCACTGCTCTCTTTCTGTGCCACACTGAAACCCTAGGTCCTTCCCACTGCTACAGGTGCTCTCCCAGGTCCAGGTGCCCACATCAGTGGGGGAAGGCTTGCCATCTAGGAGCGGCTCACATGATGACCACCATTGGGGGCATCCAGGCAGATGTGGCCCAAGGGTGTGTAGCCAGAGAGAGGCTTGACAAAGGGAAGATTCTACAAGGGACAGCAAGGACCAGCAAGGAAAACACAGGCAGGTCTGGGCAGGAACCTCTGTACCTCCTACCCACTAGGAACTCCTGAGAGCCATCAGAGGACCAACAGAAGGATGGCACTGCCCTGCATGTGACCACAGCTCACCAGGAGGCTATGACAGCCTTTCCTTCATCTCCTGTTCCCCCTGCAGTCCTATCCCACTCTCCATCCAGCAGCCAGGATCTTTGAGCAGAGTAGTAACCTCGTTAGATTGTATCCTACAAAGATCCTACACTTCTATGGTGTTGGATCCTACACTTCCCTGCTGTTCTGAGATAGTCACACTCCCCGCTGGCCTAGGCCTTGGGCTTCTAGCTCCTGTGCCCCCTCTCTCACCCACCTTACCCCTCTGCCTGCCCCTCTTGTAGCCTCCTCCTTTCATTCTTTCAGCACTGCCATTCCTTCCTATCTTGGAGACTTCACACTTGTTCCCACAGCCTGGAATGTTGCCCACCCCTATAAGGTCCTCTTTTTCATTTGGGTCTTAGCTGAGATGTCACCTCCTCAAGGGAGCTCTCCAGTCATCCCAAATGCCCCTTCATTCACTTTTCTGTGAGCCTAATCTGCAGTTCACTCCTTATTTTTGGAATTCCTTGTCCTGGAGCTGCTTCCCTTCCAGTTCTAAAAGCTCTAAGGCGGCAGAGGTCCAGTCAGAATTTACCTGTTTCCCCAAGGCTCAGCCCAGAGCCAGATACTCTGTCAGTGACTTGTCCCACTAATGATTGGTGAACCTCCTCTTCCGAGGGACAAGTTTGTTCACTTCCACAAGGGAGGGCAGTTTACCAACTACCTGGCAAGGCTGTGGGCGAAGGTCAAATGCCAGCCACTGGTTTCTCTAGAAAGGAGTGGAAAGGCCCAGGCCTAGTACCCAGGAGCTGGAGCAAGGAAGGGACATACCTGTTTTGTGCAGCTCAGGCAGGAAGCGCAGGAAGATGGGTCGGGCATACAGGGGCAGCTCCTTCTCTAAGGCCTCTGCAAAGTGCTCCAGGTCACAGCTACCTGTGGAGCTGGCCACGGCAGCCATTCCGGCCCGACCTTCAGTTCCTGTACACAGGAAGATGAACCATGAGCCCCAGCAATGCTCACTTGTGGCACTTCCCAGCATGCCACCACCCCCCACAACATACCTGGTACCTCAACACCATATACAGCCACATCAGCCATGTCCAGTAGGCGGCTGAGTGTACCCTCCACCTCGGTGGTCGACACGTTTTCCCCTTTCCAGCGGAATGTGTCGCCTGTGCGATCTCGGAAATACAGGTAGCCTAGCTCATCCATCACCAGCACGTCACCTAGGGAGGGCTTTGGTGAGCAGGACCTGGGCTGCCCAGCTCTGGCCCAGGGGCTTGAGCCAGGCAGTCTTTGCTGAAGCCTAAGGATGTGATTGACCACAGGGGCTGAGACAGGGGAGTCCTGGGCAGGTGTTCTCTGAAGATAGCAGAAGGTCCCTCACCAACCCCTGCCCCTCTGGAAGTGGTAGCAAAGGGTCAGGAACCCACCAGTGAGATAAGCTTGATCCCCCTTCTTAAAGACATCCTTAGCAATCTTTTTGTTGTTAGCACCCGGGTTGAGGTAGCCATCAAAGCGGCGCAGAGGGTCTTGCTGGATGATGCGGCCTACCAGTTGGCCCGGCTGGCCTGGGGCAGGAAAGGCAGAGTCAAATTTGTCCTAGGAGGCCTCATCCACCTGTCTTCCCCAGACACATCCTACATTCTTTTTGGTTTTCCTTTTTTTACCCCCAGTTGGTACAAGGGGTTGAACCCAGACTATTTTATTTTGAGACAGAGTCTCATTAAGTTGCCCAGGCTGGCATCGAACTTGCAGTTCTGCTGCCTCAGCCTCTCGAGTGGCTGGGATTACAGGCATGGGCTACTGTGCTTGGCTCCCTGCATCTTGAACTAATCTGATTCATACTGCTTGCCATAGAAATGCCCTATTTCTGGGGGATGGGGGTGTAGCTCGTGGTAGTATGTGTGCTTAGCATGTATGAAGCCCTGGATTCAATCCCTTATGCGCGTGCGCACACACACACACAGAAAAAAAAGAAATGCCCCATTTCTCCTCCAGCCTGGAGCTTGCTGAGGGCAAGGGGTTCATCTTGGCTGGTCTGACACAACTGGATCCTCAGTGATGTCTGTCTATTGAACTGGATGGGAATATAAATAAATAGTGAGTGGGGCTCAGGCTCTACTGGACATCCGAACAGGCTGGCACCACTGAGCTCCTGCTCCAGGCGTGACTCCACTCAAAAAGCGTTATGTTCTTTATCATGCATAATCCTCAGGTTACCCTGATGGGGCCAGTGCTACCATCAGTCCCATCTGCAGAAGAGAGGACTCAGGCAAGAGGACTCAGAGAAGCTAATTCTCCCATGGCACAGGGCTAAGGGGCCAAACAAGACTAATTCTAGGTGGCCAGACTCAGGGTCCTTCGGGGTCAATATGAAAATGAACAAATGAGCTGGGTGCAATGGCAAATGCCTATAATCCCAGCAGCTCGGGAGGCTGAGGCAGAAGTTCACAAGTTTGCAGCCAGCCTCAGCAACAATGAGGTGCTAAAAAACAGTGAGACCTTGTCTCTAAATAAAATACAAAATAGGGCTGAGGATGTGGCTCAGGGGTCAAGTGCCCCTGAGTTCAATCCCCAGTACTGCCCTGCAAAAAGAAAATGAACAAATGGACTGATGGGTGGATGACATGGTGAAAGGATGGACAAAGAAGTGAACAGTTTATAGCCCTCAGAGCAGGACTGACTGATGGCTACTAGTCACAACCCGCTCCCCACCTAATCACAATGGCTGACCCCCCTCCCAGAACAAAAACTCCTCCTCTGATCCTCAATTCCCACCCAAGGCAGACCTGGCCGGCAGGGAATGCACACGCCATCAGGTCCCCGGATCAGCTCCATGGTGTCCTCGTTGACACGTACCAGCCGGATGGGGTACACAAAGGACAGGATACGGCTGTTAAAGCCACAGGCTCCTACCTGCAAAGGCCAAGACTTGGGCTGGGGCTCTGCCACCATGGGTCCCAAGGTGGACAATGGGGGCAAGGAGCAACTCTGGCACCCAAACTCCCACAGTGGAACTCTGCCCTCCCCTCTGCCATGGTCCATCCCCATAGCAGCCTTACCAGGCCCCAACCTGGGCCGCACCTGGCTGTCAAAATTGCCTAGGCTGCAGTTGCACTCAGTGGCTCCATAGAACTCGGCCACCTGGGGGATGTGGAAGCGGCTGGAGAAGTTGGTCCAGATGGACTGCCGGAGGCCGTTACCCAGAGCCATGCGCACCTGGTGCTGGGTCTCCGCTTCCCGGGGCGGCTGGTTCAGGAGATAGCGGCACAGCTCACCGATGTACTGCACAATCTGGGGTGGGCTTGGTATGAGTCTGGGCTCCCAGAGTTGCCCCACTCCCCCACCCCCATATCTCAAGACCCTCTCTTCCACAGGGGCTGGCGTGTGATCCCATCACTCTCTGGGCCTCAGTCTTCCCATCTGAACAACAGGAATGTTGCCCAGTGAACCCTTCTAAACCACCTCAATTGTGTGAAAGATATTCCAAAGTGTGGTTAGTGGGAGGGAGACAAGGGGACAAGGGACTGCTCATTCCCTTCCCTTCTCACTTACTGTGCAATTGTATTTAACACAATCATCCCAGAACCGGGAGGCTGAGAACTTCTTTCGGATCACTACTGTCATGCCATGGATCAAGCACTGACCAACACCCACGATGTTTCCTGAGGGCAAAGAGGGCCTAGAGTTCAGGAGATAGAGACCCATTCCCCAGAGCCTCCTTTTTTCTTGCCATGAAGGGGATTGAACCTAAGGCTTCACACACGCCACGCAAGTCCTCCACCACTGAGCGACATCCCAGCCCCCAGGGCCGCCTCTTGCCCAGGCCTGCCTCTTCACGGGCACCGTCCCCTGGTCTCTTTTCCCCATCCTGTCCTAACTGATCATATCTGTCTCCATTCAGGCACCTTCCATGGCTTCCCAATGTCTCTGGGATCAAGTGCACACTCCTTAGCCTGCCCCCTGGGGACTCTGGAGCCAGCCCCAATCCCATTTTCAGCCAGGTGGGGCCTAGCTACTCTGCCTGACCTCTGTACCTCACATCTGCCTTCTCCCAGGAGTCCTCCCAGGCTCCCACTGCTGCTCTTGCCACCACTGCTCGAGCGCTCCCTGCTCCTCCTCCACTCACCAGGCCATGCCCCTTTTTAGAGTCAGATAGGTTCCCATCACCCATTCTGCCAGGACACCACCCTTAAACACCTTGAGGCAGGGACTCTGCTCTCTCAAGCTGCCTTCCCTCAAGTCCCTTCAACCAAGCAGCAATGCTATTGCACATCTGTGGAAACCAACTGGAAAACAGGTCAGCCCAGATGCCCCCAGAACATGGTCCCACACTCTGAGCCTGGTGTGGTCACCCTCAATGGACAAGACTGAGGTAGACCCTTTGGCCATGCCTGGATTTGAATTCAGATTTGAATTCAAGTGTTTCTACTGCCTCTTCCAGGAAGGCCTCTCTATGGCCTGATGCTGCCCTGCTCTAATGCCTGCTTCTATGCCTTCCACAAACAATTTCTGGACCTTGCCCTGTTCTAGGCCCTCTCACAGATCCCAGCTGAGCAGGGCAGTTATATGAGATGGCCTTCCTAAAGATCGGGGGTGCTGGAGGCTGCGGGGTGGGTCCAGGCTTACCTGCAGAATGGTAAAGGGGGAGACAGTCATAGACAATGTCGTCAGGCTGCATGCGGAACCCGTAGTACACCAGGGCAGCCATGCGGTAATACCTGGGAAGGCAAAGGGCCAGGGCTTGGTGGGAGGAGGCCCTGCAGCCCCACCATACCCACCCCACCCTGGGGTATGAGACACCCACCCCTTACCTGCTGTGCACCACGATCGCAGCTTTGGGTAGCCCTGTGGTGCCCGATGTGTAGATGTAGAAGAGTTTATCTGAAGAAAACACACAAGGGCAACTGAGAGGGCACCCCACAGGGCAGGGCAAAGTGGGATGGATAGTGTCCATGTCCGTGTCCTTCAATACCAGTTCCCACCATGCTTCTTCCAGGAAGCCCTCTTCAATGGCCTGATGCTGCCCTGTTCTAATGCCTGCTTCCATGCCTTCCACAAACAATTTCTGGGCCTTGCTCTGTGCTAGACCCTCTCACATGTCCCAGCTGAGCAGGACAGTTATAGGAGGACACAGGCAGTTCCAGTACTGAGACAAGTGTGGGGGAGGGGAAAACACAGGACCTGAGGAAGACCAGTAGCACCAATTGGCCTGGGCTTCTGTGAAGGAGGTGGTGCCAGTTTGAGGTTTTGGAAGGAGGGATACCTGCCCCAAGACTTAGCTGCAGGAAGCGGGTGCTGTGTAGCTTCTGTACTTCTGAACATCTATTGACTCCACCCTGCAGCTCTGACTAGGAACTGTCACACTATAGTTCCTATGGGAGGCTCAGCCCTGCCAGAATAATGTTCCTGGAGGCCAGGAGCTGCACTGGACAACTCTGCACATTTATAGCAACCATCTCAGGCTCTGCCTGCCTGCTATGTGCTAGCTCCATGCAGCACGAGGGCACCAGGGTGGACCAGCCACAGGCCCTGCTCTCTAGCAACTTACAAAAGTACTAGAGTCAGGATAAGAGAGGTTAGACAATGATGACAAGGACAATGACCTGTTACTGAGCCCTTCCTCCTTCCATGCTCTAGCCTTAGAACTTTACCCACTGTATTTTTTTCAACCCTCAAAATCAATCCAGGAAGTAGATTCTGTTATAATCCCTGATTTTATGGCTGGAGGACCTGAGACTCAGAAGACAGGCTGGAGAGCCCTGATAAGACAGTCCAAGATTTGAACCACCAGACTACACAGCAGATTGGTGGCTTTACAAGGAGGGAAGTAAGAGTGGAAGAGCTGAAGGACGGAGCAGGTTGGAGTGTACAGGAAGAGAGGAGAAGCTGGGGGAGCTGCCTGGAGGAGCTGCCTGGAGGAGGTGGGGAAGGCTGCCCAGTAGGGTAGGAGGAGTAGGAGGGACCCACCTGTGAAGCCCTTGTCAGGGCGACTTGGTAGGTGCTTGGGGGCATCTTCCAGCAGAGGGTCCAGGTGCTCTGTGCCAATGGGCACTGTATTGGGGTCCCAGGAGCCAGAGCAGAAGAGGATAAGTGAGGAGTCCAGGCTGTCATGGATCTCACATACAGCTATGGGAGACAGAACAGGTCAGCAGGCAGGCCAGGAGGCTGTGCATTCCCAGGGGAGACTGGTTAATGTGAGGGGGAGATGGGTAAGGTACCTTTACTGTTTTTTTTGTTTTTTTTTTAATTTTTAATATTTATTTTTTAGTTTTTGGCGGACACAACATCTTTGTTTGTATGTGGTGCTGAGGTTCGAACTCGGGCCGCACGCATGCCAGGCGAGCGCGCTACCGCTTGAGCCACATCCCCAGCCCACCTTTACTGTTTATAGGAGCAACAGCCCCCATGAGCTGCTGGCCAACTACACAGAGAGCTCCTTATGTGCATTTTCTTATTCTTATAGCCCTAGGAAGTAGGTACCAACAACAGCCCATTTTAGAGCTGAAGAAACGGACACACCGAGAACAAGAGAGAGCTCATACCAAGGTCTCTTACCCACTGTACTGGGTATGGTTGGTGGACAGGAGTGGGGGTCAGAAGGCCCCATTTCCTCTAAGTGGAACCTTCTGTTTTCCTAGGCACTGCACAGATGTCCAGATACTCACTCACCTTAGGCACAGGACAGTGCTGGCTCACTTGGCCTCACTTTCTCTGGCTGCTACTTATTTTTATGGTGCTGGGTTGAAACCTATGGCCTCATGTGTGCTAGGCAAACACTACACCACTGAGCTACTCTGGTTTTCTCTTAATTCATCTAATCTTCTTTCCTCTACCTACTGTATCCTTTCTTCTCCCCTTGTAGCATTTTTTGGGGGGGTGGTACAGGGGTGTTTTGCTGCTTAGTTACTTAATTACACCCCCAGTCCTTTTATTTTTTGAGACAGGGTCTTGCTAAGTTGCTGAGGGTCTCACTAAATTGCTGAGGCTGGCCTCAAACGTGTGATCCTCTTGCCTTAGCCTCCAGAATTGCTGGGATTACAGCTGTATGCCACTGCACCTGGCCCCTTGCAGCATTTTAACTTCCCTGTCCATTATCCCACAACAGCCATAGTGTGGGGAGAAAGAACAGGGACACTGTGATAAAGCCCAAGATCAAATCCTAGTTCTGTTGGGCATGGTGGCTCACCCCTGTAATCAGAGCAATGAAGGAGGCTGAGGCAGCAGGATCACAAGTTCCAGGCCAGCCTCAGCAACTTAGAGAGATCCTATCTCAAAATAAAAAATAAAAAGGACTGAGGATGCTGGGTACAGTGGTGCACTGTAATCACAGCAGCTCAGGAGGCTGAGTCAGGAAGATTGCAAGTTCAAGGCCAGCCTCAGCAAGGGTGAGGCTCTAAGCAACTCAGTGAGACCCTGTCTCAATAAAATACAAAATAGGGCTGGGGATGTGGCTCAGTGGTCGAGTGCCCCTGAGTTCAATCCCTGGTACCAAAAAAAACAAGAACTGAAGATGTAGCTCAGAGGTACTGTGCCACGAGTTTACTCCTCGATACAAAATAAATAAATAAATAAATAAATAAAATTTAAAAAGAGCCTGGGGAAAGGGCTGGGGCTGTAGCTCAGTGGCAGAGTGCTTGCCTTGCACATGTGAGGCACTGGGTTTGATCCTCAGCACCGCATAAAAATAAACAAATAAAATGAAGGCATGCTGTCCATCTATAACTACAAAAAAAAAGAGACTGGGGGCGCTGGGGCTGGTGCTCAGTGGTAAAGCGCTTGCCTGGCATGTGTGAGGCACTGGGTTGGATTCTCAGCACCGCATATAAATAAATAAAATAAACTCCATTGACAAATAAAAAAACAAATAAAGAGCCCTGGAGCTGGGCTTGTAGCCCAGTGACAGAGTGCTCGCCTTGCATATATAAAGGACTGCGTCCTTTGATATCACAAATAAATAAAATAAAATCCCAGTCCTCACCTACAGTTGTGTGAACTTGGGTAAGCTCTTCCCTCTGAACTCACCTCATCATCCATAAAGCCAAGATGACAGTCCCTCCCTCCCCAGTCTTTGTGAAGATCAGAGCTGCTCTTGTAAAGCACCAGGCTCAGCATGCTGGCACCTAATGTGGCAGCACATGAAATGCAAGCTCCTCCAGGAGACGGGGAGTGAGTTCTTGTCCCATTGTAGAGATAAGGCAAGTGAGGACTAATCAGTCACAAGAATAGCAGCCATCATGCCTGAGGGTGAACCAGTACCAACCCCCTGACTACCACTGCGGCAGGGCAACCACCTCCTTAAGATCAGTAGGGGCAGGTGCTACAGATGTGGAACCTGACGCTCAAGAGTACCTGCCTCTCATCCAGGACTGCCAGCTTCCCTGGCAGGCTCAAATCAGCTGACTCCAGGGCCCCTGCCCTTAACCACAGGCCAACATTGCCTCCCCCAGGCCTAGAAGGGAGCTGTGGTCTGTGCAAGGTCCCCTGGGTCTGCCACCTGTCCTTTGCCCCCTGGAGCTCACCTGGGGCCATCTCACTACCAAAAATAAGGGCACGAGCCTGGGATGTGGTAAGGCAGTGGCGCAGAGCATCACGCCGGAGGTTGGTGTTGATGAGTGCCGCCTCCACGCCCAGCTTGGCCATGCCAAGCCACAGGCCCACAAACTCATTGCGGTTCTCCATGAAAAGGGCAGCCACATCGCCTGAAGCCAGGCCCCGGGCCTGCAGGAAGTTGCCCACGCTGCTTGAGTAATCATCTAGCTGGCGGAAGGTCCAGTGGGTGTCTGTGCCCTCGAAGATCAGGGCTGTCTTGTTGGGGTGGCGCTGTACTGTAGAGGCAAACAACACGGGCACAGTTTCCTGATCCCGCAGGTACCGTCGAACCTTTGCTTTCACCTTGAGGAGCACCAGGCCGCCGCTGTGTGGAAGTGAGCAATGAACTGTGACTGCCAGGGTTGGCAGGGTGGCCTCCTAAACCCCTGGCCCAGGTTCCTGCCCAATAGCCTGAGTGCCATAAGCCAGTCCTTCCTAGATGCATGACACTGCCACACACAAGCCTTTCACCAAGACCTCACAATGACACCCAGAGGTCGTGTGGTTTCTCGCTCCTGATAGGAGGAAGAAAGATTCTCTCATGGTGCTGCAGCTTACCCCGGGCTTCAAAGGTGCCATGAGGCTGAGCTGAGACTTGAACTGCAGGCCTGTCTGGTTCCAACTCCTACTCCCCTCCTGCAGCCTGTACTGTCCCCAACCCCTATCACCACAGTAAACTATGGTAATCCCTGTCAGTCCAACTAAGACAGGCCTCTGTCTTGTTTACCACCTTATCCCCAGGGTTGACCAGCACAGGGGGGATGCTTAGTGCTTGTGTTCCCCCCACCCACCCCATAAACTCTGGAGCTCTGCAGTCTTTATGTCTCCAGTGCTGTGCCTGAGGCTGGACTCCCCTTCTTCTACCACCTTTGAGGCACCTCTCCACTAGGAGGCCTCTAGATACCCCAAGCCCCTGGCCTGGGGTCATCTCTCACTGCTCCTTGCTCCCACAGCTCCTGCTGCTACCACCCTTCCTGCAGGGTCACTTGATACCTCCTCCTTCTGTAATCAGTCCAGATTGACAAAGGCTGAGTTGCCTGTTTGGGGGATGGTACACTATGCTGGGCCCTGGAACACAAGAGTGAGCAAGACTGCCAGGGTCTTTGCCTGCATGGTACTGCCACTTCAGGGAGTTGCTTTGTCCTCTCCTTATCCCCATGGTTAGCCTCAGTTTGGCAGATCAGGTCTGCTTTGTTCCTCTCTGGGCCTCGGAGCAGCACAGGACCTGGCGCAGAGCAGCAGGGAACAGGTTCTCCCAGGCATCTAACTTGGAGCCTTGTTCTAGAATTCAGTGCCCCTTGTGCCCTCTCAGGCTTGTGCCAATCCAAGAAAAGGTCCTTTCCCACTGGGTTCCTCTTCACCTAGTTATAAACTAGAGTGTCCTCACGATCTCTCTTCAACATACTTGGAATTCAGTGTGTGTCCCAGCCCAAGGAGTTTAAAGTTAGGGAGATTCCCTGAGGAAGGACTTTGACCTTGGAGATGGAGGTACCAAATATTACTGCCAGGGGTAAGGTGTGGAGCAGAGGCTTCTGGGGTCCCAGGTGTCCTATACTGGTAGATACCATGGGGTCTTGTCTGGGGAGATTACAGGGATCAGGAACCCAGGAAGGGTGAAACTCAGGAAGAACTGGACCAGTACTCACAAGATATCACGCCTGAAGGTCTTGATGAAGATCCGGATGAAGCGCCAGCCACCAGATCCCAAGTAGAGAAGCAGCAGGGAGAACCCCACTTGGGTCCAGGGTAGTCTCAGCACCAGCTTGGAGAACACCATCAACCCCACCAAAGATGCCCCAAGCAGCATGTTGGCCTGCAGGCACAAGGCAGTCAAACATTTGTGTCCCCAAGGACCACACACTTCCAGGTCCTGGCACCCATTCCACTGTGATTACAAACACGGTAGGGCTTACAAACATGGTAGGGCTTGGTCACCCCAAGTTGGGTGACTGAGGACAAAGTTCCCTTTTAAGGTTTTGGTGGCTGAAAGGGTCTTCAAGAAAGTTTCAGGGATGACAAGCAGGAGACTGTTCTAGCCTCTAGTCCTATCTTGAACTACCACTTTCCAAGTTACCTTGGGCAGGTCCCTTTTCCACTTCAGGCCTCAATTTCTGGCTGTGTGCAATGGGTTAGTGAGACCTGTTTTCAGTCCACTCTCCTACATCCAAGGACCCTAATCAAAACACCTTGAGGATAGATACTGACTTAAGTGTCTCCAGCTCAATTCCCGGCCCAGGGAGGTTCTGGGGAATGATCAGGCCAAACTACATCACAGAAAGGGGCAGCTTCCTGGGAAGGTAGCCCAGCCAAATCCCTGCCCACGGACTCTGGCATTGTCCTGCCTCCATTGTACTGATCGATAGAGGGCGACACAGTAAACAGGTTAGAGCCCGGAGGTGCCTAAGGGTGACTGCCCACGGGGAAAGATGAATTAGGGAGAAGAGGGTCTTGAAGACACGCCCTACACTCCCGCCCCCCCAGCAAACCACTCAGATGAATCTTTAGGAATGGGGCTTAGGGTAGGGGGAAAAGCTGACGGTGCTGCAAAGGCTGGGCTGAGATTAGGACTCTTGGGCTGTCTATTCGTGGCTCTTTGCGGACTTGTTCAAGGGAATAGCTAGCTGAAGGGACAGTTTTTCTTAGGGTTTTCCTATTGTTAGAAGGAGCTGAAGGTCAAGGCTGCAAAGCAGCCTGAGAGCCAATATGAGGACATGGCCTGGACCACAGGGAGCCTCTACAGACCTCCTCCTCCCGGGGAAAAGCAAAACCCCGACGTGGGGGGCGGGGCTGGGCTAAAACGTCCCCAACCCCAATGCCAGGAACTCCAAGGCCCTCAGACCTCCGGCCTCCCAGAGTCCGCCAGAACGGAGGGCAGGTACCCCTTCAGGAAGAATGGAAGGAGAAGAGGAGGGGGTGCCGAGTTCCCGAGGGGCCCCTTCCGGGGTCCTGCTCCTAGACAGCTAGAGTAGCAGAGGTCCCGGCAGGGAGACAGAGAGGCAGGGCGCGCCCCTCACCCCAGGTCCGCCCCGCCGTCATCCCCTACTCGGCCCGGTAGGTTTCCCAGCCCTGGGTCCCACCGGCCCCGCCTCGCTCACCCGGCGTCGGCTCCGCAGCGCGGCGCCCAGTCCAGATGCGGCCCGGATGCAGCAGCGGAGAGGGGAGCGCTGGGGGCATCAGCCGCCCCTGGGCGCACAGAGCCAAGACCCAGCAGCGCTTGGCCGGCTCTGCGCCCTTCAGGGCCCGCCCGCCTCCCACAACCCAAACGGGATGTGCCGGCCCGCAGCACCGCCTCCAGCTCGGTCCCAGCGGCTGGCAAGCCTCTGAGCCGGCCGCGCGGATCGGCGCTAAGCTGCCCAGCCCAGCCCAGCCAAACCCGGCCCAGCCCAGCCCAGCGCGCTGGACGCCTCTCGGCTCAGTCAGCCCTGCGCGCGCCGCGACGTTGGGCGGTGCCGCCGCGCAGCATACTGGGAGTTGTAGTCCACACCACTCAATCCGGCCCTGCGCGAACTACGCTAGGAATTGTAGTCCGCGCCGCACACAGACCAGCGCAGCCGTAGAGAACCCCAGGCTTGGGGAACCGGCGGTTTACCGCTGGTTCCTCTGTTCCTATAATCCCGCGCGAGATTTAGGCATGCACACTCTCTTACGGTCAGCAGAGAATCCTAGCCTGCTACGCGGCCCCAGCAGAATTTAGTAAGGTCCAACACTACATCTAGATGAGCTCTAAAAGGGCGGAGGAAAGCGGTGGGAGGTCCTGGAAACCTGCCGCGGTGGATAGCGCATGGGACTTCTAGCCAAAACCTGCAGTGGCCATTTGAAGGTTGCGGGTTCGAGTCCCACCAGAGTCGCTGTTTTACTTCCTCCAGTACCTTCACAAGGTTCAAGAGGATCTGGGCATGGTGGTACATGGAGGCTGAGTTCTGGGCCAGCCTCAGTAATTTAGCTGGGGCTCTCAGCAATTTAGCGACATCTTGTCTCAAATATATAGTTCAATGGTAAAGCGCCCTGAGTTAAATCCTCAGTACCAACAATAAAACATAAACATAAGAACCACAGGATCTATGCCCGACTCTGCAGAAATTCTCTCATCATGATTTTTTTTTTTTTTTTTGTACTGGGGATCCAACCCAGGGGCACTTAACTGGTGAGCTACATCATCTCCAGCCATTTTTATTTTTTATTTCAAGACAGGGTCTCACTGAGTTGCTTAGGGCCTTGCTAAGTTGCTGAGGCTGGTCTGGAACTTGTGATCCTCACGCCTCAGCCTCCACAGTTGCTGGAATTACCAGTGTGTGCCATCACACCTGCCCAGCCATCAGGTGCTTTTTTTTTTTTTTTTTTTAAAGAGAGAGAGAGAGAGAGAATTTTAATATTTATTTTTCAGTTTTCGGGGGACACAACATCTTTGTATGCGGTGCTGAGGATCAAACCGGGCCGCACGCATGCCAGGCGAATGCGCTATCGCTTGAGCCACATCCCCAGCCCCCATCAGGTGCTTTTGAAGTAGCATTTGGTACATTGGAGCTTAAAGGTTCATTGATCACAGAAGTATATATAAGATGAAAATTTAGACACAGAGATTATCTCTGATGGTATCCACAGGGCTTGGCATATTACAGAGGTGCAGTGTTGAATGAGTGAAAGGGAGAAGGATTTATGGGGATAAACACATTTATTTCCAAATCAACTATTGAGGTCATTTGCTGATGACCAGTCACATGCTGTCCTCTGCCCAGACTAGAAATTAAGAAACTAAGGCAATACTCTACTAGACAATGGGCCAGGCCGAGGTATGGAAGCAGGGGGACACAGAGGGAAAAGGACAGTCTGCCCTCAAATTGCTTGGTCTGGTGGGAGAGGGCAGGTGAAGATTTGAGTAAGTGGGACCTCTCTGACCACTCAGGGTACATCTGGTGTAGCATCTGGTGTAACACTGCCTAGTTGTTGTGACCATTTATTTAGCTGTACTCTTTGCACAGCAGCAGACACAGCTGGGGTGCACTTCCAGCCCCAGTTGTGAGCTCTGAGCAAATCTCTCCTCACAGAGCCTCAGTGTCTTTACCTGTCCAATGGCAATACCATTGTCATGGCCCCTTCTTCTGTGACCACTAAAGATTCAAGGAAATGATAGGAGTCAAGCTCTTACCTCAGGGCTGGCTTCAGTACAAGGGCAAGAGTGGCACTGTTCTGATCACTTGCTTAACTCCCAGTATGTGCACTGGGCACACACTCTGAAGAGGTCTGTGAAGTGACAAGACTGGTGGGCTTGTGCAGTAGAACACAAGGGTGGCGGTGGTGGGAGCACATGGTGGAAAGAACGAGTAGGAAGGCCTTGTGTGCCAGCCTGAGTTTATCCCAGGGGCAATGGAGAGCTAGTGAGGATTTTTGAGAAGGTCAAGGACTGGGTCCTGTCATTTGAGGGGTGTGCCTAACTTAGGCTGACTTCACAATGGGCTCCTTTGACACGGACACGACTCCCATCCTGTGCCACATTGGGGACAAATATCAGTGCAAAAACCAGCAGACTTAACCAGCAACTCACCTTTGGGCTCAAATGGAGGAACTTGGCCTCCCTGGCTCTCTGAGATCATTTGGTCCTGGCACACAGTAGGTGTTTACACCAAATACATTTGTTCCATTGGCCTGAAGAGCTCTGAGCTATAAAAATCCTCCCACTCTGGGTGTGTGCAAAATAATACCTCTGGCTTGACTTTACTTCCAAGATCTCAAGGGACCTTCCTGGCAAATGACAACTTCCTTTTCTTAAATGCTTACAATATGTTAATAAACACTGACCATGCACCATTTTACTGAGTTTCCCAATGGCACTGCTGTGAAGCAGGTGTATTGCTCTCCTCATTTTATTTTATCATTTGTTTATTTGGTACCAGGGATTGAATCCAGGGGCATTAAACCACTGAGCCACACCCCCAGCCCATTTTATTTTTTAAATTTTGAGATAGGGTCTTGCTAAGTTACTTAGGGCCTCACTAAATTGCTGAGGCTGGCTTTGAACTTGTGATCCTCCTACCTCAGCCTCCTGAGCTGCTGGGATTATAGTCAAGTGCCACCCACCCAGCTTCTCCCCATTTTAAGGGGAGGAAACAGGTTTACAGTCTGATGAGACTATGGCAAGGGAGCAGAACTGGGCAGCAGTGGGCCCAGGTCTGTGTGTCTTTCGAGCTTGTATACCCAGACCTGGCTCAGACTCCAGCTACCTATGCTTATTCTCAGAGTTTCTTTCTTTCTTTCTTTTTTTTTTTTTGCAGCGCTAGGGATAGGGATGGAATTCAGGACCTTGCCTTGTACATGCAAGGCAAGTGCTCTACCACTGACTGACACCCGAAGCCCACTACCTAAGGAGAATTTTCCTGGATTACTGGGAGAGAACTCACGACCTCAGTTTAGCTGTGACCCCAGAAGATTCCCTAAACCTGAGAGTTGGTCTTCATCGGTAAAGTGAGCTACCATCAGTGTCTCAGGGGTTACTAAGGGAATTGAATGAGGACTTGACTGTAGCAGGCTAGCAAGGGCCTGGCCTCCATTTGCTCAACAATGAAGTACTAAGTCCTTGCTATATTCTTCCTCAGATGGGGTGGTCAGGGAAGGCCTGAGGTCACATTTGAGCAGAGATATGAGTGACAAGGAGCTGCCCACTTAACTACCCAGAGACAGAGTGCTGTTCCCAAAGGCAAGAAGTTTGGTGTGTTTTGGGAAGAAGGATAAGGCAATCAAGATTTATTAGAAAATGGAAGTTTCCAGATAGAAGGTGGCCTCACAGGCAATGTTAAAAACAATGTCATAGCTATTACAGTATTGTTTTTCTTCACTCATAGGTGACACTAATGCCACCCTATGGTTAGACCAGACTTCATCCCAGTCAATGTGGATGTCTGATTCCCTCTGGCAAGTGCTATAATGGCCCAGGGCTAGAGTAGGTGTGATCCAGATGTGCAGAGAAGGCCATCTGAATCTGATCTACCCGCCACCTTGGCACCTGACTTCAACTGAGTTGCAGTGGGGTAGGTGCCCTAGACACCAAAATTTCCCAATGGCATTGCTGTGAAGCAGGTGTATTGCTCTCCTCATTTTATTTTATCATTTGTTTATTTGGTACCAGGGATTGAATCCAGGGGCACTAAACCACTGAGCCACATCCCCAGCCCATTTCATTTTTTAATGTAGACCAGGCAGGTCTGCAAAGGCAGCCTACATTGTCCTGCAGGTGGGTGAAACACAGGGAACTTGCCTCTACCTCTTGCCTTCTGTAGGAATTCAGGGAGTCAGCACAAGGTTTCCCTATTTTTGTGGTTGGTTTGTTTTTATGGTGCTAGGGCTTGAACCCAGGGGTGCTCTACCACTGGAGCTACATCTCCAGCCCAAGCCTTCTCTCTTAAAGAAGCCCACATTCTCAGCCTCCAGCACCCTCCTTCTGCCAGCAGGAGCCCAGGACAGGACATGGTGGCCACAGGTAAGGCCAGGGCTGGGCAGGTGCTCATGTGGCTTTCTAGAAAGGCCTTCAGATAACCCTTGTTCCAGCCCCAGTTCTGTTCCTGTTGCCTCATTAGTAAAGCAAGTAAATGGGGCCCCCTGGTGCATGTCTGTCATCCCAGCCACTGGAGGATTGCAAGGCCATCTTGGGCAACTTAGCAAGACACTCTCTTCAAATAAAAAGTAAAAAGGGATGGAGATGTAGTTCAGTGGTAAAAATCAAAGTAACAGTACCCCCTACCTCTGGGTGGCCACCTTGAAGTGTCATTGTGATGATGCATCTCAAGTGCATAGTGCTGCTTGGCCCATAGTACAGTTGTAAATAAACTGTGGTCATTATTACAGATTGGGAAACTGAGGAATAGGAAAACCAACCTGGAAGCCTGTGGCCTGTGTTCTAGTTAATATTAAGCAATTCTCTGCCTAATTTCTGGGCTCCAGGTGACAAATCCACACAATAACAAAGTTGGCCCTGAAAAACTCTAAGGGCCCAGCCAGGTGTGGTGTCACATAACCATATCACAGGGACTCAGGAGGCTGAGGCAGGAGGATAGCAAGTTCGATGCCAACCTGAGCAATTTAGTGAGACCTTATCTTAAAAAAAAAAAAAAGACCGGGTTGTAACTCAGTGGTAGAGGATCCCTGAGTTCAGTCCTCACTACCAAGGGGGGGGGGGGGGAATATGCCCAAAACACTCTAAGGGCTCTGCCATCTTGAGAGTTTTCCCCAGACAGAGCTACCCACTCTTCTCAGGTACTTTTTGACCTGCCTGCCCCTGTTCCTGACTCTGACTGGAGGGAAGAGCCTGTTTGCCACTCCAGAATGAGCTGCAGTCTCCTGTGCCCCCCAACACACTAAAACTAAAGTGGCTCCTGCTCCTTGGCCCTATCCCCACAGGCCTTCTGCACCCCACCTCAGGGAACCCCCATAACCCAAGGCAGAAACTGTCATTTGCCCTTCACTGAGGTTTAAATGGCTCAGAAGGGGAAGGTAGGAGTCCTCCACTAGAAAATGGAGGAGCTGGAGATTGGAATCTTGGCCTGCCCAACTTCAGACTAGAGACAGGAAAGCAGCTGAAGTTCAGGTTGGGAGGGAATTTCCACCCTCAGTGCTGGGAAGGCCCAGGGCTGTCAGAGCCACAGGCAGCCCTGGGCCAAGGAGGACAAGCAGACACTTGGCCTGATGAGAGCCTTTATTCAGGTGGCTGACTTGCCTCCACTCCGCCTCTCAGACCTTTGGAGTTGAGTGTTGCTCTCACTCCTGTGAGGACACCTGCCTGGGCCTCAGAAAGCCCTGGTTGGCAGGGAGGAGTCCCAAACAGGCCATGGACCTGAGATATTCCACCTAATCCTAGATGGCCAGTCCTTGAGAAAATGTGGCTCTCCTTAGGCAGCTTGGAGGCCCAGTGCCATGCTTGCTCCCTCCTGGACTGGCCCTCAAGGACACACAGCAATGATTATGACAACTATAAATAACATCCAAAGGTCAGTCAGTGTTCAAAAAGAAGGAGCAAAGGTAGTGGCAAAGGTGTCTTCTGTCCCTGGAGGCAGTGGGTGGGGAGGCAAACCAGCACCCTTGTTGCAGCAGCTCAGACTAGGCCCGGCCCCGGACACACAGAGGCGGCGCTGTGATGCCCAGTTCCTCTCGCAGGGCACTCAGGGACTGCTCCCAGCGCTGCTCGTAGTACAGGTTGAGGACGCAAGGGGCCCTGCGCCCATTCTCAACTGCCCACGGGATCAGCTCCGAGACTAGCACCTGCAGGCTCCTGAGGGGTGGCAGGGAGAAGAGAAGACATCAGGTCCTCAAGGGCTAGGCCTGCTATGTGCTCAGAACCTGCTGTGCATGTGCCCAGTTAGTCCTCACTCAGAAGCGGAAGGAAAGCTCAGTGAGATGAAACCTTATGCCCCAAGTCTTACACACCTTGAACACACCAAAACTCAGATGTAAATAGAGGACTAATTCCAGAAACTTGGGCTACCCTGCCTTCCCACTGACTCCTGTCATTCTGCCCTGGTCCTGAGGCCTGGCCCCAAAGCTCCTGGGACATAGGCCAGTTTTCCCTTTCTGCCTCCTCTTTCATACCCTTGCTTCCTGGAGAGCCATGTGGGCTGCTAGGTGTCTGCATACCCTTCCCATTTCCTGAAGTCCAGCCCCTCTGAGGTCTCCCCCAACCCTCCAATGTCCCTGCCACTTGAAAACTTACTGAGCACTGAGACGGACTGGTCCAAAGAGTGCACCCAGGATGCACATGGGGAGACGAGTCTGCACAGCCTCAAACCATTTCACCACGATTTCCCCTAGGGGTAAGGACAAGGACCAGGTGGAAGGTAAGTGATGCTGGGAGGAGGTGGCCAGTGGTGCTGCTGGTAGGGCCCAGAGAGGCATCTGCTTTTCTCCAATCTCTACCAGGGCTCAGTTGTACCCCTTCCTGGCCTGTGCTGGGCCTTGGGGCACTGGGCTTGGGGTGGAGGAGAGGGTATCAGTGCAGGAGAAAGGGGATAGAAGGGAAGCTGCATCAGAATGCAGAGGATCTCAAAAGCCAGACTGAGGAGACTCCGATGGTCCCAACAGGCCTTAGAGGGAGGGATGCTGTGGGAGGGATATCAGTGTAGAAGTCACAAAGGAGAAATGGGGATAGCATGGCCCAGATGCTACCAGAATGTCTGCGCAAAGCAAAAATATCAGCAGGCACTGAGTAGATGAAGGGATGTGGTGGAACAGGTGACCCTGCCCTGGCCCTGAAGACTCACAAAGACAGCTGGCTGGAGGACACTGCCATCCACTACATTCAGGTAGCTGGCTTGGTGGCACTCACCCAGGATGTTGGTAGGCATCCCCAAGAGGGTGTGAAGCATGTCGTGCACCTCCCGGTAACGCTGGATCACATAGGCTAGCTCTTCGTCATCCACGAAGCGGGTGGGTGCTCGGGTGTCTGGGGAGACCCTCTGACAAGCATGACACTCCCCTAGACCCTTTCCCAACAGCTCCCAGGGCCTAATTTGTTAGTCTCCCCTTAACTTTCAACCATTCCTACCAAACTCAGTCCCACCATAAAACCCTGGTGACTTTATTTCTGTCCACACTTACCAACAGGGGAGGACTCAGGCAGGAAATATTGGGGAATTAGCACCCCGCCTTGGGCCTACTCCAACTCACACATAATGTTTGTAGCCTGTTGAATTCTATGGTAACAAAACCCCTTGTGGGGAGGGTAGGTAATAGGAAGTTGCTTAATAGGTATAAGTATCCATTTTGCAAGCCTAAATTCTGGAGATTAATTGTACAACAAAGTGAATACAAATAAATACTACTGAACTGTAACTTAAAAATTGTTAAGATAGATGGACATGGTGGCACATGCCTATAATGCTAGTGACTTGAGAGGCTGAGGCAGGACCTCGGCAATTTAGCAAGGCCCTAAGCAACTTAGTGAGAGCCTGTCTCAAAAAATGAAAAGAACTGAGGATGTGGCTCAGTGGGTTAAGTGCCCCTGTGCTCAATCCCTGGCACTAACTAACTAACTAAATAACCAATCAAATAAATGTTAAATTTTATGTCATGTGCTTTTCTTTTTCTTCCTTTTTGGGTGCTGGGGAGTGAATCCAGGGGCACTCTACCATTGAGCTACATCCCCAACCCATTTTTAAAAATTTGAGAAGGGTCTTGTTAAGTCACCCAGGCTCCTGAAACTCAGGATCCTCAGCCTCCCCAGTTGCTGGGATTACAGGTGTGCACCAACATGGCTGGCTAAGTGTCTTTGATTTTTTTTTTAACCACAATTCAAAATTTTAAAAAGGGAGGCTGAGAGTACAGCTCGATGGAGAACATTTGCCTAGAACGTGTGAGCCTCTGGGTTTGGTCACCACCACCTCACACGAAAAAATAAAAAGAAAACAAGAAGCCCCAAGGCCCCTGATTGTTGGCACAACCTGCTCCCAGCCTGGGTGCTCTCTCCCACCCCCATCTTCACCTTGAGAATTCCTGTACATCCTTCATGACCTGATTTAAGCATCTTCCACCTCCTAGAGAAGCTGTCCCTAACCTTCAGACTGAGTGAGTCCATGTTATGGTCTCCTGCAGCATCCTGCCACCTCTTTGTGTACTCAAAATGATTTTACCTTGATGTTTAGTGCATGTGACTATTAATGTCACCTCATTCTGCACTGTCCTGTGTAGCAGCCACCCACCACTGCAGTCACGGAGCTTCCAAACATGGCAAGTTCCGAGATGTGCTATGCTTGTAAAATACACTGGATTTCAAAGACAGTATGAAAGAAAGTGAAATCACAATAATTTAAAAATGTTGATGCTGGGGAATGATATTGGCCCAATTATACTGTCATAATGGGTGCATATATGAATATATAACAACAAATCCTATCAGTATATATACAATTAATATACTAATGAAAAAGGAAAGACCTACCTTAAACCACAAAAAAATAAGTAAATAAAAATAAAAATGTGGATTACTTGTTGGAATGCTACTATTCTAAATATATTTGGCTAAAAATGTATTATTAAAACAATTCCTGGGGCTGAGGTTGTGGCTCAGAGGTTGAGCGCTTGCCTAGCAAGCATGAGGCACTGGGTTCGATCCTCGGCACCATGTAAAAATAAAATAAAGGGGGCTGGAGATTTAGCTTAGTTGGTAGAGTGCTTGCCTCACATGCATAAAGCCCTGGGTTCAATCCCCAGCACTCCAAAAAAAACAAAATAAAATAAAGACATAAAAAAAAAAATTCCACTTTTTTTTTTTCTTTTATTAAAGTGGCTAGGAGAAAGCTTTAAATAACCTATGCGGCTTGAGTCTAGTCTGTGGACACTGCTGCTGCATGAGGGCAGGGCTAGCTGCTTTGCTCATTGCTGTTATCTTTGGTTTCCGGTCTGGGACCTGGATGAATAAGCATCTCTTGAATGCGTGAGTAAATGTCCAGCCATCCCTGAGCACTTCTCTGACCCCAGGTAAGAATGTTGACTACCTTCCTTCAGCCCCTGCCTCGTTGAGTCCTCATCAGTGCCCACACAGTAGTAGTATTCTGGTCTTTCTGCTCTCAAGGCATGGCCTCAGCCTGTCCAGAAGCCGAGAGATCTGAGGTCTTCATTGCTTTGAGGCTGCAGGCTCAGCAACACGGCCAATCTTAGTCTGTGGCCTCACTGGGTCCCAGGACCTCACTTCCTCTGCAGTTGTACTTGCTGTGTGAAGCTGAACTGATCAGAGTAACAGCAGCTGCTTTTATGGAGTACCTACTATGTGCCAGCCCTGGGCAATCTCCTTCACACGTTATCATATTTCACTCTCACAGCAATTTAGGTAGTTCCCACTATAATTATCCTCAGATATAGGTAAGAAAAACAAGGCTCAGATAAGTAACTTGCCCAAGAGCATACAGCTAATAAAGTGACTGAGTCAGGATATGAAATAAAGTCTGCTGGATTCCAAAGCCAGTAACCTTGACATCTGTTATCAATAAGCTGTATAAGTACTCTGAAGACAAAGGTTAGGTCCTTTTACATCAGATAAGAATTTGTCCAGGGCTATAAAACTGGGAAGAGGCAAGATTTTAACTTGGGTTTTTCTTTAACTCCAAAGCTCATGTCTGCTCTCTTGACCACGCCTCTAAGCAATGTTAGCCTCAGGGCTGGTGGCCTCACCTTGATCCTTTCTTTGAATCTCTATTGGCACAGAGGTGTTCCTTCCCATTTTGTGGGTTGCTGATTCCCTCTCTCTAGAAATGTCACAATCTTCAGGCTGTTACCATAACTAGGGCAGTTGCTGGGCAAGGTGCCCATCGTAATCTTGGTAGACACCTCTCTGCCACTGCAACTCTCCACAGCATCAAGACTAAAGGTTCTGGTGAACTTCAGAAACTGTTTCTACTTGGGTGGCACATGGGGCAGGTTTCCCGCTGATGAAATATCTTACACCCTAGTGAAATCTGAGGAAGATGGTATAAAACAGGACAGGTGATTCCACTGCAAAGGCAAGTGTCTGGAAAGTGTAAGGGACAGGTTACTGTCTTGGGAACAATGTCTTTCAAGGGCAGTGACTGTCAACTGCTCACCAGGGGACATCTGCAATGTCTAGAGACATTTGTGGGTATCTCCATGGGAGGGGGAGGGTTCTACTTGTATTGAGTTGGTAGAAGACAGGGATGCTGCTAAATGTTCTACGAGACACAGGACAGCCTCCTATGAGAATTATCCAGCCCCAGGCATCAATAGTGCAAGGTTGAGAAACCCTGTTCTAGAGCAACCTTTAGTCACCACTTGCCCTCCTCCAGCACGGTGGGCTCTTGAGCTGAGCTGGAGAGGCACTTAGCACGGGGGCTTTGATGGGGTGAGTATGTGCTAGAGGGAGGAGTAAAGACAGGTAAGGTCAGGTCATGCAACTATCCTTGTAATGTTTCCTTTGGCTATTACGAAATACAGATTCTTCCCAAAGTCTATAGGGCCTGGTAGCGCCTAGCCCTGGCCTACCTCCCAGGCCACTTTTTGCCTTTCCCCCAGTCACTCCTCTGGCTGAGTTTCTTTTCTTTATGGTGCTGGGGATAGAACCCAGGGCCTTGTGCACTGAGCTACACTTATATTCCCACTTTATTTGTCTATACCATAGAAAATGGCATGAGACTAAAAAGCACTTTTTTTTTCTTTTTTTACAGGGATTGAACCCCAGGGCACTTAACCACTAAGCCACATCTCCAGCACTTTTAACATTTTTTTTTTTTTTTTTTTGAGACAGGGTCTCACTAAGTTGTTTGGAGCCTCACTAAGTTGCTAAGGCTGGCTTTGAACCTGCAATCCTCCTGCCTCAGCCTCCTGAGCTGCTAGGATTATAGGCATTGCCACCACAACTGGCCTAAAAAGTACTTCTGCCCACGATGGCAGCTCGGGGCTCCCCCTGCCTCAGCATGTCACTCCTATGCCATTTCTCTGCACTTCTTGATGATGCCAGATGCATACAAACTGGAAACTCACATTCACATCCAGGAAACGGAGATACTCGCGGCCAAATGAGCCTTCAGGGAGGCTCTGGAGCTTGCCCAGGTCCAGGGTGGACAGTGAGATCCTGGGACGCTCTCTGAAAGGCAGAAAGCAAGACCGGATATTAGGAGGTACCAGCAAAGGCAGGTGAAAGGCCCAGTTAGAGTAAACTTTGGTTGGGGGTGAGGACACAGGGCAGCATTTAACCACAGCACTAAAGGAGAATCTACTTGCCAGGCCAGTTTGGGGACTGAGGAGACTACCACAAACCAAGGACATAGGAAGATAGACTACATATGTACTAAAGGGGAAGGGTACAGCTAGCACATGTTTTGTGAGCTTAATGAAGGTACGGAGTCCTGTGGCTGAGCTGGTCTGAGCTGCCACCTTGTACAACCCAAAGGTGGTCATACTACACACACATATATATCAGTGGTGCCCCTGGAGTTGGGCAGTGCCCAGCCTGTGCAATGTCCATGATCAGGGTATCAAGAAGAGATCCCTAAAAGAACAGGGCTGATAAAATATGACTCTAGAAAAGTCAGGATCCCTAGAGAACTATAGCTTCTTGGCCTTTTGGCTAAGATATGTGCAGGATACCTAGAGAATGACTTCAAGTCCCCAGGTAGAGCTGGGACCTACTGTAGAATCTGGGCACCCTCTGGATCCTTCCTCATCTGGTCCCTGAGGACCTTCAGGGTCCAGCATCCTGTGGTCTCCCCAAGAACTGCAATCATGTCTGAAATGACAGAGAAGGGCACAGATAGGGAACGTGATCTTAGGTAAGTTACTCGACTTGGTCTTATCCTTGGTTTTCTACACTATAAAACAGAGATAATATCTGCCTCTTAGTTATAATAATCCATTTTAAATGAGCTTAGCATATCACCTAGCACACAGCTTAGACTCAATATATCTATGATTTATTTTATGTTATTAATCTTCTGGGGTGGCTTTGGTTAGCACAGTGCTCTAAAGACTTTATAAATCATTTCACATTCATTATCACAAAAGAATATCATGTCTGCATTGACTGGTACAGACTCTGGTATGTGTCTGAGACCAGCTACGATCTATTTAGGTGAACTTACACAAATTGCTTCACACTAAGCCTCAGAATCCTAATTTGTAAAGTGTAGATTACACCTTTCATAGAGGGTTAATGTGAGAAATCCAGAAAAATCATGTTATATAAAATATTTAGCACAGTGCTTAAGGAGCAGTTGTCATTATTATTCTCAGTAAGAGTGATAGTACTTTCTAGAACTTAAAAATCCTGGAAAGGACACTATAGGATCTTTTTTTTTTTTTAAGTATTTATTTTTTAGTTGTAGTTGAACACAATACGTTTATTTATTTTTATTTTATTTTATTTTTAAAAAGAGAGAGAGAGATTTTTTTTAAAATATTTATTTCTTAGTTTTCAGCAGACACAACATCTTTGTTTGTATGTGGTGCTGAGGATTGAACCTAGGCCGCACTCATGCCAGGTGAGCTCGCTACCTACCGCTTGAGCCACATCCCCAGCCCCCTTTATTTATTTTTATGCGGTGCTGAGGATAGAACCCAGAGCACGCACATGCTAGGCAAGTGCTCTACTGCTGAGCTGAGCCACAACCCCAGCCCCAACTATAGGATCTTAAGAACTATCTAGCAGCCAAGTGTGGTGGTCCACTTCTGTAACACCAGTGATTCAGGAGGTTGAGGCAGGAGGATCACAAGTTTGAGGCCTGACCCTGTCTCAAAATAAATAAAAGGGCTGAGGATATAGCTCAATGGTAGAGTACCCCTGGATTCAATCCCCAGTACCACTTAAACAAAAAGTGTTCTAGGGGCCAGGGAGACTTGGCCCTTCAAGAACAGCATCTGAGCCAGGTGAGGTGGTATATGCCTGTAGTCGCAGCAGTTTGGGAGGCTGAGGTAGGAGGATCGCAAGTTCAAAGCCAGCCTTGGCAAAAGCAAGGCACTAAGTAACTCAGTGAGACCCTGTCTCTAAATAAAAGATACAAAATAAGGCTGGTGATGTGGCTCAGTAGTCAAGTGCCCCTGAGTTCAATCCCTGGTACCCACCCCCCACAAAAAATAAATAAATAAAGCAGCATCTGGTTGGAAATTGCCTCGCCTGCCACACCTGTTATAGAGGCCAGGAAACTCCAATTCCTCCTCCAGAAATGAGCCCTGAGCAGCCTCCTGATTCCTCCTGGGCCCAGGGACCCTCATCTGCAGGCCTCCATGGCTGGGTGCCAAGTAATTTGGTCTTTAGCCATGCCTGCACTCCTTACCAGAGGCGACCTTCCTTATGCACTGGTGAGCATAGCCCCTTTCCTGTGCCCTGGTCCATCCTATAGAATAACCCCTGGATTGTGATCATAAACATTTTGTTTACCTTCTCCCCATTACAACCCTGGGCACCATGAGGAGGGGCTATGCCCACCAGGGTGCCTGTGGTGGGGAGGGGGCACAGTGGTTAGTCAGCCTGTGTAGGGCCATCTGGGCTTTTACACAGGCTGGTCAGAGACCCTGGACAGCTTCTGAAGAGTTAGCTTGTAGAAATTGCCCAGGGCCCTGCAAATGTCAGCAGCAGTACTGATGTATAAGTTAGTGAGCCGCCACCATAGTAGGCATTTGAGCAGAGTTAGGAAGCAGAGGGGGTGAGATGGTATATCTTCAAAGAGAGGTCACTTCTAGAGATGATGCCTCTGTGGCCTAGGGGGGCCTCCCAGGTCAGGGCTCCCAGGTTAGGCCCAGCTGATGGAGGATGAAGTGGGTGATGGGTGGGTGTGGCCAGCCTGGCAGAGGAGACAAATATGACAACAATGTGACAAATGCCATGCTAGAGAAGGTCAGGGGTCATAGTTTGGCACAACTGGAGCAGAGAAGAGGCTCTTCTCAGGGATATTTGCCAGGCAGGTGTGGGAGGAGGTGAGCTCCCAGGCCATACCATGGGACATGTATATCCATGCTCCCCAGTGTTCTCTGTAGTTCTCCACTGTCCTTTCAGATCAGTCCTTCCCTGTGCCTGTCTCTCTGTCCCTTGTCCCACGTTGCCCAGTTCCTGGAACCAAATCTTGAGGAGGCCTGAGTTCCTCAGACCTCCAGATTCTGGGCCTTTTACTTAAGAACTCTGTCCAGGGGAACTGGACGCATAGGAAATAAAAAGCAGCAAGATAAATACTACTTGAATCTTCAACCAAGATGGTGTTTTCTATAAGTGCTGAGAAGGTTATAATTGGAAAGCCAGAATTCTCTTAGTTGCCTAGTCCTGAAGTTGGGTGCAGTTCAGTGGTACAGTACAAGTAGGAGGCTCTGGGTTCGGTTCCCAGTAATGGGGGACTGTTTAGGGATGGGAATATAGCTGAAAGGTAGATCCCCCCTCCCCCGCCCCGCAAAAAAAAATTCTAATTATACAGCCAGCAGACATTTATTGAGATTTGCTGAGTATTTACTATGTGTCAGGCACTATTCTAAATGCTGCAGATTCCGTGCATTCATGTTGTTCGACCTCATAAAATTTACTTTCTAGCAAGAATGTTGTTATTATCTACTTAGTATGAGGGATTGGAACCCAGGGGCGCTTAAGCCACATCATCGGCCCGCTTTTATTTTAATTTTGGAAACAGAACCTCGCTAAGTTGCTGAGGCTGGCTTTGAACTTGAGATCCTCTTACTTTGCCACCAGGGATTAAAGGCGTACGCCATAGCGCTCGGCTCTAGCGGGAATGTTATAATGTGACAGGTGCTTTTAAATTCTTTAGCCCAGGGGTTCTAAACACAGATGGATGACAGAATCTCCGGGAATTTTAAAAGATACATGATCAGACTCTGCACCCCTCTTTTTATCCCTCCCCGCCCCCTGCCTGGCAGATTTGGATTCAAAGAGTTTAGGCAGAAACCAGGCATCTGGTTTTTATAAATGTTTCTGGTGATTATGAGGTGAAGCAAGGTTTGGGTACCCCGACCCGGTCTATTCTCCAGGCACCCAGGAAAAAGGAGGCTTTGAGGTGGGGACCTGCCCAGGCTTCCAGGGCAAGGGCACCCCGACCTCTCGCTGCCGGGACAGAGCGCCCAGCAAGCGCGGCCTTACCGTGGCGGTACGGGTCGTAGAGCGCCATTCCCGCCGAGCCCGCGGCGAGCAGCGCCTTCTGCAGCGGGGAGGTGGGGATGTGGTCCGGGTAGAGCCGGCTGGCGCCATGGCTCCTGGCCCGGAAGGGCACATCTGCCGGGAAAGCAAAAGGCAGAGGTCAGACGAGCTCTGCGCCTGCACGCTCCTCCCGCCTCGGCCTGAGACCCAGCGCCACTTGCCTGCAGCCGGCCGGGTACTGCTGGAGAGCGGACGAAGGGGGAGCAGAGCCCGACACAGCAGCGTCGCCATGGCAGCGGGCGTCCACCGAAGGGCGGGCAGGGCAAGGCCGACGCTCTAAACTTCTCTGGGAACGGAGTGCCAGAGAGGTCAAAAACTAAGCTGCCTACGGCCTCTCGAGGGGAAACATCGTGGAACCGACAGGAAAGGGACCTAGCTAAGTATGAGAAGGAAACTCACGCACTTTATCTACCAGCAGTTTTCACTGATATAAGTTGCTCCCCGTTTCCCGCAACCCCAGAAAATTTCTCCAAAAAGACCTAATCCCGCTAGTTTTACAATTCTCTACCGGACCCTATTTCCTCCTCTCCCTCAGGTTTTCCCCGAGGACAATAAGATAAGAACCTCTTCCGGCCAGGAAACATGGCGACGCCTATTGTAAGGACCACATTTGGGAAAGAACCGTACGACATTTCCGTTTGAATCCCAGCTTTTCCGAGAACCCGGGGCGCCAGGGGTGCGGGGGGTGTGGACTGTGGTCATGGGTCTGGCGCGGTTGAACGGGCTCTTCGCCGCCTATAAGCCCCCCGGGCTAAAGTGGCTGCACCTGCGGGATACTGTAGAGCAGCAGCTTCTGAAGGGTGAGTGCTTCGAACCCACTCACTATCCTGTTGAGGTTCTTTTAGGGGTCCCTCTCTGCTTCTTTCTATCCTTCCTGCAAAATAAAGTCATGTGACTGTTCTCCTGGGCAGAGCACTTTCCTATTCATCTGTTCTTATTCTCCACTATTTTCAGATGGGGAAATGCAGTATTGTGTGTTGTCACACGGTGCATAATTAGAGTCAGGATTTGAACCCAAGTTGTCTTAACTGCTGCTATTTTGTGCTTATTTTCTGTCTTCTACATCATTTACTTCCCTGTCCCCTTCTCTTGCAGTTGTTCTGACAGAACTGGCAAGACATTTGTCTTTTTTCAGGTCTCAATGCCCCGAAGCCATCTGTTCCTGAACAGCGTGTTGGCTTCTTGTTGGGCCCCATGGAAGGCAATGAAGAGGAGCTGGCCCTCACAGCCACCAGTGTGCCCACCCTCACCAACCACAGGCTTGGTAAGGTAGATTCAGGCTGGATCTTGGTTAATACTTACCAGAAAATCCCTGACCTCCGTCAGTATCCCAGTGCTCAGATTCCTGGCCCAGGTCCTTGAAGTATTAGACCAGGGATTGGCAAACTTTCCTGGAAAGGGCCAGATTCTAAATATTGTAGGCTTTTCAGGCATGTGGTTTCTGTTGCAACTGTTCAGCTCTACCATTTCAGCACAAAACGGCACAAGACACTGTGGGAAAGAATGATTCTTTAAGATTGTCATGCAAAAAAGTCAGCTGCGTGTGTACCTGTAGACCCAGTGACTTAGGAGACTGGGGCAGAAGGGTCATTTGAGTCCAGGAGTTCCAGGCCAACCTGGGCAACATAGCAAGACCCCCATCTCTTAAAAACAACAGCAACAAAAGGACCCCCACAGGCTTGAGGATTTGGCCTATGGACTGTGTTTTACTGACTCTTTTATTATTCTAGGACTCCTGATATGAATTGAGACCTATAGGTAGAATTCTTAAGTAGGGGTTTGGGACTTCTCAAAAAGAGTGACTTTTTTTTTTTTTTTTAGTACTGGGAATTGAACCCAGAGACTCGTACATGCTAGGTAAGCACTCTACCACTAAGTTATTTTTCAATTTTTAACTTATTTTAAATTTTAAACATGGTCTCTCAAAGTTGCCCAGGCCAGCCTTAAGCTTGCCATCCTTCTGCCTCTGCCTCTTGAGTAACTAGGATTACAGGTATGTGCCACTGTGCCTGGCAAGACTGACTTTTTAATCAGTAAAGTGGCTCAACAACAAAACTGTTTGCAGAAGCTGCCCTTGAACTTGCAGTCCTCCTGCCTTAGCCTCCAGAGTTGCTGGGATTACAGTGTGTACCATAGCCCCTGGCATGCCCAGTCCTCTTGAAGTCTCTCACTGGAAGACTGGTGAAAGGAAGAGTAAGAAACCTCTTGGGTTGTCCTTTCTCTGAGCCCTAAAGAACTAAGAAAATAGTTCTAGATCCCAGATTCCATGGAAAAAAGCCCGAGAGTATAGCCTGATCCTGATTTGATGTACCATTCAAGGAATGAGGTCAGCATGCAGTGCAGAGTTATCCTGGAGGCTGGATTAATTGAGGAAATGGACCTTGCTGTTTTTTTCCAGTGTGTGGGCCAGCATTCACCAGCCTGAAGATTGGTGTGGGACATCGGCTGGATATCCAGTCTTCTGGGGTACTTGGTAGGTTGTGGGCAGCTTGAGGGTACAGTGATATGGTCTTAGGGAAGGACCAGGGAGCTACCATGAGCCCAGTGCACTTCACACCACTGCCTCTTCCCCTGATTCCTGCCCTGAGTCTCTGATCAGCTGGGGAATTGATTGGTAGGATGGAGGGAGTCACAAGAGGGAATCACAATTGCTTACTTTTATCAAGTGATTCTACCATGTGACATGACTCAAGACCTTTAATGTACATTTATTCACCACAATAACCTTACTTATTAGGTAGATTCTTTATAGTTTTATGATTAAAGAAAGTAAGAATTCAAGAGCTTGGGTGGCTTGGCTGGGTTCTGTGGCTAGTGAATGCCCCTGGTCCTGAGAGGGAACACCATCATCTCATCATGGGGCAGCCAGGCATGTGACTCTGGCCAGTGTCTGAGTATTGCCAGAGCTGGGCCCACAAAGCCCTGAGTCATAAGCTGTTTGTGTCCCCAAAGTCAGGTGTTGGTCTTAGTTCCTCAGCCTCAATGGCAATGATCCCCTTGTCTTGCTTCTTGGAATATGGGAAGGCATACATGATCTCATCTATCTTCCCTGCTCACCCTCTCCAAGAGTGAATGTGGGTTGTTCTCTCCTTCAGCCAGAGAAACAAGCAGACTGAGAGAGACACATGAAGTGGCCACAAAGGCCCCCATTTGTTGGGCCCTTACTTTGTGCCAACGAGCTTCCTGTGCACTGCCTTCTTCCATCTGCATGACACTCTCAGACATTGGTCAGGATGCTTCTCTCTGTTTTACCGATGCAGAGCTCAAGTCCCAAAGAAATTAAAAGTTATACTCAGAGACAACCAATATTTGATTACAAATCTATGGGTCTAGGCCACCCACAAAGTCTCTTATTTCTAAGTAGATAGAATCCCCTGAGAAACTTGCTAAGGACCCCAGACCCCTTCTCCACCTTGTGACAGATTCAGTACATATGGGCAAGGCCTAGAAATTGGTATCTTGAAGTATACCCAAAACTCACTCACTTCCTGCAGAGGAGGTTCTCTTTGCCACCTTGCTGGCTTGGGAAGCTTGGGAGTATTCTAATGGCAGCAGCTGGGGTGGGAATTTCCGGGGGGAATAGGAGGGAGATGCCAGGCATGAGATGAGACTGACTGCCTTTCAGTGCTTGGCGTGGGACGTGGACGAAGACTCCTCACCGACATGTATGATGCTCACCTCACCAAGGTAAGGGAACCAGTACAGCTTGCTTATCCCTTGGTCCTTTCCTGGGGATCACTAGCAATATTCTTTTCTTTTTTCTTTTTTTTAAGAGAGAGAGAATTTTAATATTTTTTAGTTTTCAGCGGACACAACATCTTTGTTTGTATGTGGTGCTGAGGATCGAACCCGGGCCACACGCATGCCAGGCGAGCGCGCTACCACTTGAGCCATATCCCCAGCCCACTAGCAGTATTCTGATGCGGAAGATACCATAGGGAACACCCAGGCCATCAGCAAACTTTTTTTATAATCATGTACTAGGAGAGACTGATATTGTGATGGTGACCAGTGGTGTTACTACGTGCCGACTGCTCCGCTCAACACTATACATACATTGCCATGGGGATCCCTCACCACTACCTGTAAGGTGGAATCTGTGGCTAATCCAGTTTTACAGATGAGAGACTGATTCTCACAGAGGGGACATACATATAGGGTCCCAAACTTTTTTTAAAAAAAAAGTTTCCTGTGGTGCTAGGGATTAAATCCAAGGCCTTGTATGTGCTAGGCAAGTGCCCTACCACAGAACTACCTCCCCAGCCCCACAAAGTCTTTAAGGCTTTAAGAACTGAAATTGTAACCTTCATTTGTCCCATACCAGAGCCTGGTCATGACACCATTTCATTCTTTCCCCAAGACTGAGAAGTGGCTGTCATCATCAAGTCCTCAAGGAGCTTCCTGTCCAAGGTGGGGCTGTGGACTCTGGTCCCATAATGTACAGATTTACATCTGCAGATTTACATGTTAGGGGACCTTGTCTTAATGTTAAAGAGCATAGATTCTGGAGTCATATGACTCCAGTTCAAAACCCAGCTTCAGGGCTGGGGATGTGGCTCAGTGGTAGAGGGCTTGCCCAGATGCATGCCCAGGGTTTGATCCCCAGCACTGCAAAAAATAAACAACTTCTATTTCTTTGCCAGCCATGTGTCCTTGGGTGGATCTCTTAACATCTGTGTACCTGTTTCCTCATCTTTAAAAAGGGAATGAGAATAATATTTCCTCTGCAGGTATATTAGCCAAGGTTTTCTAGAGGAACAGAATCAACAGGAAGTATAATTGTAAAAAGGGACTTATTAGGTTGCCTTATGTGACCAGAAGCTGGAGAGGCCACAATGGCTGTCTGCAGGCCAGAGAGCTGGGAGAACCAGTAGCTGCACAGTCCAAGAGGCTGAAGCCCGAGAACAAGAGAGATCAATGGTGCTACCCTAGCCTGAGACCTAAGCCTTCTGGAGAATCACTGTCTTCTTTGGAAGAGTGAAGAAGTGAAACAATTACCAAGTTGATACTTCTGCAAGGGAGGAAGCCAGAATTTGGTGAAATAGAGATATTTGTTGTTGCTAACCTACATTTTTAAAAGAAGATTCATGTGTTAATTATATAACTGAAAAATAAGGTAAAAAAGAACATTAAATGCCAATCATCTGATATATTCAGATGATTGCAGCAGCAATCAAGAACCTGTTCAAGAAGAAGCGAGCTTATGTCTGCTGTTGCTTCTTTGTTCTTCCAACTTTTATTCTATCCAAGCCATCATCCCATTGGTTGGTGCTGGCCACGCTTAGTGAGTGTCTCCAT